ACCGGGGTGCAGGTTTATGAGCTTTCAATGCATCTCAATATAACATGTGCAACTCATAGCAACCAGTACGACAGTATCGAAGTTGCCTAACTCATAACTGTAGTCATACTATAACGCAATCGATTCAACTAGTACCATAAACTCACCTGAACTTACCTGGGTGTCCTGAGTTCACCTTTGCACTTGAAAGCACTTAAAAGCATTCCCAATAATTATATGCAAGTAATATACATATGGATATATCATGATGCAATCTACTACTCAACCATGTCGTAGCATTTTCAATTATAAACAATATGGTATGAAGTGTACAATCAATAACGCCCTATTCCCAAACTACTTATTTTCAAGGATAATTATCCATGACAACCCAATTAACTCTAATTTAACTAACTAATTCACAAAACTAAAACTTGTCTTTACCAATTTCCTTTGCATTTCCTTAATTTCCCAAGCAAGGCTTTTGTCTCAATTATTTTATGGCTGCATCTAACGTCTCGTTAGACTGCCTACATACCCTAAATAGGGATCAAGCCATTCGTAGTTCACATAGTACTTCAAGCATTCACAATAATTATACGAAGGTAATATACCTAATCAATTTAAAAGTGTCGATAGAACTCTCAATAATATGCACAATAAAAAGGAAAAGATCCACTCACCTGGAGTCCACGCTATACTTCTCTAGCACGCGCATCGAGGTGTCTTGAATGATCGGTCCTTGTGGCCAATTATCAAATCACATCTCAGAACTCTTATCTGAAGAATATGCAATTCACATAAAACACAACCTCAACGACATTCTAAAATAGGTTGAAACCTATTGACCACAAGTCAACCGTCGATCAAAGATCGACGGTAGGGTTTACAACCCTGTATAACTTGACCCCGAAGATCTGCATATCAGATTTTCAATCCGTAACTTCCAACGATCTACAATATGTTTCTAGAATAACATATTAAAATTTCATTACGATCCAACGGTCAGATCTCCGCCAATTGCCTAAAACGAATGGCCGTGAACATTTATTTTACTAACTTACAAATCTAATTCAGGAAGATCCGTAAGTTGGATTCCCGATCCGTAAATTCTTTTGATCTTTAAATATTACGTATTATAATGTATCCAATTTTGGTGACGATCCAACGGTCGGATCATCGATTCACATTTTTATCAAGTAACGTATCGTAACGAATTTAGGTTCCAACTATCAACCTACGTCATTCAAATGACAAAACTGAATTCAAAACATTTGACATAGCCTAAAACTAGTATTGGCGGCCCACTGGCCACGCGCCGCCGCGGGTGGCGGTCGGCCGTCCCGACTCGCCGGAAAATCCAACTATTTCCAAAAATTCTCAAACTTCACAAAAATGAAGATCTCAGTGAGTGGAGCAACTTTCATACCTGCCACGAAGTCCAAAAATGGACGGAAGATGATCAATTTTGCCCACGAAGTCGGCGGGTGCCTAAAACTTCCCGACGTCGATTCGTCGTCTACGGTGGTCCAACGGGGTCAAGGTTGGTTGGGTTTTGCTCCTGGGATGATGGGCTACAAAGCCCAAGTGGTGGCATCGGCCATCGCTTTGCCGATTTGCCGGAAAATGGAGAAGGGTGGCCGGAGCACCATTGATTTTCGTCAACTTTCGTGGCCTCAAACCGCCTCATACCATGGTTAATCAAGGTGGTTCTTGGGTGGGTTTTGTAGAGGGGAATGAGAGCTTCAAGATGGTGGTGGTGGCATCGAAAAGCTCCACCGGAGTTGGCCGGAATCGGCCTTGGAAAATGGATGGTCGTTCATGTCGGGTCACGGTTTTGGGGGGAGCTTTTTCCTTTTTTTTTTTTTTTTTTTTTTTTTTTTTTTTTTTTTTTTTTTTTTTTTTTTTGCCTTTTCTTTTCTTCCTTCCTTTTTGATTGGCTGCCAACTTTACTTCTTCTTTCCTCCCTCCATTTTCTGATTGGGTTCCCCCCCCCCCCCCACAAAGTGGGGATTGAATTTAAATAAACATTAAACCTTGAACAACCAATTTCGAACGTCCGTAACTATACCGTTATAATCCGGACTCGCAAACGGCTTTCGCCTTTGCGTTCACATCCACGAGTATTATGAGAATATGTTAAAAGAATAAGTCATACGTCTCTCTAGACGATGCTCAACATAAGTCAAAGCCCTTGCCTCTAGGGCAATTTAGTAAATTCACGCTTTTAAAATAAAATAAAAACGTAAAATTTGGAACGGGTTGTCACAAAAACAAACTAAAATCTGCGGTAGAGGTAGACAAATAAAATCATGGGTTATAGGTAAATAATACCATGTTTAATTAGGAGGAGTATGTTAATACGTCAAAAAAAAAAACTAATGAAAATGGCTTGAAAATTTTTAATTTAATAAAAAATCATGTTATAAGTTTTGTTTAACGATTAGTACAAGACCCATATTAAAGCAGTCAAACTAAAATTGGCCCAACTATAATAAATTATGATTTGTCGATTTTACCCCTAACTTTTTAAGGTTGAGTTCCAGATTTTCATCGTTAATGGAATTCATCGTTGTTTTGCAGACTTTGTTCTTTTTCTTTGAAACAAAAATATAGATCTCATGCTATTTAATTTATATTTTGTATTATTTCGTTGAAATGTGATCGTCGTTATTATTTATAGTGTATTCGAGGTACTGTTTTTCAATTTTTCTTTGTCAGTGGAGTTCATCGTTTGTTTCTCTAGAAAATAAATTTGAGATCTGCATGTTATTCAATAATAACGATAGGTCACTGTTTATGGACTATAAAAATAAATTGTCTCTGGTTTTTAAGTAACACTGTTTCTGGAATCTAAGTCACAGTTTTTTGAATTTAAGTTACTGTTTCTGGAATCTAAGTCATTGTTTTTGGATTTAAATATTTGTTGGCCCAAGCTGTAACATCTCATATCGCCCAATGGAGTGTATCCTGTAAGCTTTATATGTATATTCTTATCTCTACCTAGCACGAGGCCTTTTGGGAACTCATTGGCTTTGGATTCTATCGGAACTCCGAAGTTAAGCCAGTTGGCGTAAGAGCAATCCCAGGATGGGTGACCCACTGGGAAGTTCTCGTGTGAGTTCCCAGAAACTAAACCGTGAGCGCGTGGTCGGGGCTCAAAGTGGACAATATCATGCTACGGTGGAGTAGAGCCCAGGATGTGGTGGCGGCTGAGTTGGGATGTGACAATTTGGTATCAGAGCCAATCCTTAGCCGGAGGTGTGCCGACGAGGACGTCGGGCCCCTAAAGGAGGTGGATTGTAACATCCCACATCTCCTACGAGATGGGGAGTGGATCCTGTAAGCCTTATATGTATATTCTCATCTCGACCTAGCACGAGGCCTTTTGGGAACTCACTGGTTTCAGATTCTATCGGAATTTCGAAGTTAAGCAAGTTCGCGCAAGAGCAATCCGAAGATGGGTGATCCACTAGGAAGTTCTCATGTGAGTTCCCAGAAACAAAACTGTGAGGGCGTGATCAGGGTCCAAAGTGGACAATATCATGCTACGGTGGAGTCAAGCCCGGGATGTGGTGGGAGCCCAGGTCGAGATGTGACACAAGCCATTTTCATTAAAGCTCCAAAAAAAAAAAAAAAGGCACCAAAAGCACAAGAAGTGGACAATATCATGCTACAGTGGAGTCGAGTCCAGAATGTGGTGGGAGCCCAGGTCGAGATGTGACACAAGTCATTTTCATTAAAGCTCCCAAAAAAAAAGGCACCAAAAGCACAAGAAAAAAAGAGGATGATGGATGAGGTAAAAATGATACGGGAAGAAAAAATACACAAACAGAGAAAATTTTATGAGAAAATAATTATTTAAGAAACAAAAAATGAATTTCCAATTAAAAAAAAAGAAAAAGAAACATGGAGATAGAATTAGAAAGAAAAGGGAGAGCGAAGATACGAAGAAGGAAAATTAAGGAGGAAGAAATACACAAGGAAAGAGAATATTTTATGAAAAGATAATTTTAATTAAGAAACAAATGATGAAAATACGATTAGACGGAGATAGAATTAGAAAAGATAAGGTAGAGGGAGGACATAGAGAGAAAAAAAGGAAAAATGATAGAGTAATGTTATTCATACTATATTTTTATACCACTTAAGGTGCAGCTATTGTGGGCAGCCACATTATTTGAAAAAATTTGCAAAATCCAAGGAAATAAAGGAGAAAGACTCCTCGTATACTACAATCATCATTTAATTAACTAATTTTTCTTAATTATTAATTTATTAAATAATGAACTAAACTTAAAAATCTAATTAAATTAAATGATGTGACTGTTTATATCAAATGTCATATAAAGTGGTATAAAAATGTAATAAAAAAATATGATATGAATAACATTGAGTTGATGAAGAGAGTCAAATAAGCAAAGAAAATGGAGGAGATGACCCCAAAATCAGTTGGAGATACTATACAAGAAAAATTAAAAAGAATTCGATTAAGCGTATTTTTAAAATAATTAAAAACACTTGAATAATGCATCGTCACACACAAGCTGATCACACTTGGATAAAAATAAGGAAACGAAAACGACATCGTACCGAAAACAAGTCGACAAATAGAACAGAATAGAAGCGGAAGAAGCAGCACAAGCCGCCCATATTCCCCAAAATCCTTGTCCCATCAGAATGTGACATCTTTTTGTAAATAAATAAAGAAAGTGATATTCGCATTCTAAAATTTTATTTTACATTTTTTATAAGTATATATTTTTTTTAAATATAAAAAATTTAAAGTGTAGAATGAAAATTTTAAAATGTTAATAATAATTCTCATAAATAAAACAGAAATAGGCATTCCGTTGGTCGTCGTATTCCATTTCTGACTCTCTGTTTCCTTCCCGAACAAACCAAACAAATTAAACACTCAATTCTTTCGAAACAACACAATTTTTAACAATTATTATCATCTCATTATTTTCCCATATCTCCCTTTAATCTCTCTCTCTCTCTCTCTCTCTCTCTCTCTAAACCAAATTCAAACTTGAATCCAAACGCCCGTCACCAACGATCCAATTCCAATCTCAACTCGGATTTGGATTCGATTCGAATTTATATTCGACGATGACGATCCAAATAAAGCAATTGTTCCAGCTCTCCTCCTCCCCACCACCACCACCGCCACTACCTTCCTTAAATTCTCGGCCTCCTTCGTTTCTGTCCCTCTTCGTTTGCTTCCAAGAAGCCATGCGCCGCACACTCCCTGCTTTCCTCCTCTTCACCTGCGCTTCCCTGTTCCTCCTCGCCTTCTTCTCACTTCACCTCTCCCGCACCACCGACTTAATCCACCACTTCCCCATCACCCTCGCCGACGACCGCCACCACTCCATCGCAATCCGCGATCAGCCTCTTCCTACCCCTCACCGCACTCGCCACGACGTCTCCTCGCTCACGAACTCCTCCTCCACCGCCATATCCACCGTCTCCGTTCTCCTCCCCTCCTGGGAGATCCTACTCATTGTCTCTCCAGAGACTCCACTTCCATCCGCCGGAGGCAACACCTATGTTTGTCTCTTCCAGAACAACGACACATCTGACGCCAGGCTCTCCAAACCGTTGCCGTTTACGAACCGGACGACGCTGGCGTGCCCCATGCCCAACCGAGTGAAGCGTCTCCGCCCGTTTTACCAACCTGTGTTGGCCAAGTGCTCCGACAAAGACACGCTGGCGCCGGGTTCGAATTCTCCGGAGCTGATGGTCCGGTGGAACTTCATGGTCTACGAGTCGTTCTCGACCGAAGACGACGTCGTCCTGTTCGCCAAGGGTTTGAACAACCGCCAGGGCGTCAACCGACCTCCCACCGAGTTCAGGTGCGTGTTTGGCGACATCAACAACAAAAACGCCGTCAGAACCGCCGTTACAAGCTCCGTACAAGAGGTGTTCAGGTGCCACCACCCCAACTTGACGGACGTCAATTTCAACGAGAAGCTCATCAAAATCTCACTGGAAATCGTTGATGCAAATGTCGTAGTCCCGTCGGTTGCGTACTACTCGTGCAGGCTACCTATGGAGACTACTACTAGTGCGGGGGCCTCAGAGATTGCTACAACCGTGGGGACCACAGAAATTCAGCAAAATAATTTGGACGAGGTCTGCGTATGCACCATGGTGTACAACGTGGCAAAGTTCCTGAGGGAGTGGGTGATTTACCATTCCAAGGTCGGAGTCGATCGCTTCATCCTGTACGACAACGACAGCGACGACGGTCTCGAGAGTGTCGTAAAAGAGCTGAACGACGAGGGGTACAACGTTTCGACGCTGTTTTGGGTGTGGCCCAAGACGCAGGAAGCCGGGTTCTCGCACGGTGTCCTGTACGCCCGGCGTGCGTGCAAGTGGGTCGCGTACATCGACGTGGACGAATTCGTGTTCGCGCCGAACTTGTGGGCCCAGTCGGACCAACCGTCGAAGCACATGCTGAAATCTTTGCTACCGGAAAACAACCATAACAACAGCGTTGTTGGGCAGGTTTCGATCAAGTGCAACGATTTCGGTCCGTCGAACCAGAAAAATCACCCGGCAGAAGGCGTTACGCAAGGGTACACGTGCCGGAGGCGGTTCGAGCAGCGGCACAAGTCGATAGTGCGGCTGGACGCGGTGGACGACTCGCTGGTGAACGTGATACATCACTTTAAGTTGAAGAAGGGGTACAGGACGAGGCAATTGAGCATGGAGAAGGCGGTGGTGAACCATTATAAGTACCAGGCGTGGCCGGAATTCCAGACCAAGTTTCGGAGGAGGGTGTCGGCATACGTGGTGGATTGGATGCAGGCGCTGAATCCTCAGTCCAAGGACAGGACCCCCGGATTAGGGTTTCAGCCGGTGGAGCCGAAAGGTTGGGCGGAAAAGTTTTGCGAGGTTAGAGACGAGCGGTTGAAGATGTTGACCCAGAGATGGTTTGGGTCTCATACGCCGGATGGCTACAGAATGGTGTGGCAATCATGAAACATTTATCTCAATTCATTCCATATATATGTTTCGTTTCCTACTTGTTTTTGTTACCATGGCGATGGCAGCCATGGATTCGAGTTCGACATGCAATTGAAAACAATGTGCAGACACAAGCTTAGGTATGTAGCAGGAGTTCATGTTTGTCACAAATGTATACATAATATTGAAGGCATAGGATTACATGGTGGGAAGTAGTTCGAGTTGATGAGGTGGGATTCTTTCAATTTCTTGTTCATTCTGTTCATCATGTTTGTTTTTTTGTATAGGATATAGATTTTATTCCTGTGATTAGGAGAGAGGAATTTTTTTCCCCTCCATTGGAACCTTACAGTCGATTTTTCTGGTCCCTTGCTAGTTGAATGTGAAATTAAGATCAAGGAGCTTCTAATTTCTAATTTTTTTTTTCATGTGTATTCATTTTCAACAAATTATTCAAATTGTTGACACGCGATGCGATCTCAATTCGTAGTTGAGATTAACTTACACACCTAAATGCGTAATTCTAATGATATAACAAGTTCTGTGAATGCTTACTACGTATTTAAAACTGAACAAACTAATTAGTAGATGTTTGCTATCTGGCATGTTTGGTTGCATGAGAGTAATATCAACAAAAAGGTCAAAATGCATGATGAACATGCTTTTGCTTGATATGCATAAATGAAGGAATATGCCCATCAATTTTTGTTTCTATTTCAATCAGGTTATCATCACGGGTATTGTTACATTTACTATCTATTTGTACCATTTCTCTAATAGAGGTAAGCCTAACAACAGATCTGTTTTAACATTGAAAAGAATCCGCCATCCAAAAACATAAAAGAGTAAAGAAAAGAAGAAAAAGAAGAAAATATAAAGAAGAGCTGCAGGCTGTCTGAGTCTTATCGGAGTCTCAAGCAAACGGTTATTCTCGGTTTTCCTTCCACGTGCAGATGCAAGAAATCTTTTTCTAGACCACGCAAAGAAGCATAGCTGAATTGTTGGCCTTGCATACAATACTTTATCCGCTACTAGCCAACTACATTCTCCAAGTACATAAATATTTAGTTATGATTCAACAAGACTAGTATTTCTAGTACTAGCGGGCTCAACGAGGATTTGTATGGCATGGATATACTCTTATTGTAGCGTCTCGTGTTAATAATATAATGATATGTTTTTATTTTTTTACAAAGATTTTGTATCATTGGCACAAGACTTCACAACGGTATATTATTCCAACTTTTTATGTTCTCTCTGACTTTGCATCTCTTTGTTAATGTTTCCATTCGGATTTGATCATTAATAAAATCAGTTTATCATTAGGTCAAAAAAAACTTCCGCCTCTATGGACATTTTACAAGTTTAAAAAATTTCATTTCTATTTTAATTTTCTTCAACAAAGCAAGTAAACCCGCTCTTTGACAACCCAAGAATCCTGTTTTCATTTTCGAGGGTTTGCTAATTAGTATAATTCATGTGTTGGTAAGGTCGGGTCTATGATCATCTATCTGTCTTTGATTTTAACTTTTCAACTTTCAGGCATCAAGATACGTTTCAAACGTGGATGAACAAGAAATTAGGTCCTACACAAGTTTTTTCTTGTGGATGAAACAGGGTGGACTGAGCTTGGAAAAATGAATAGAAAATAAATTTTGCTTCAACTTCACCTTAACTTGCAATGCACGATTCGCAACAAAACTTTAAATAAACCATATAAAATCCCAACAAAGTGAGTTGATAATTTCAGCCTGCAATTGCGGATATCAATTACAATTTGTAATTAACTGTGAAAGAAGCAAATGTGTGGGTTTTCTTCTTGGGGTGTGATATTCACACACCATTTTTTTCTTTTCTCACACATTTTTAGTTTTCGGCTGTCGGATCGGATGAATTGAAGAAGATCAACGGACATAAATTAACAAGGGGTTGTGAGAAGTAAAGAGGGGTGTGTGAATAGCACACCCCTTTCTTCTCTGATAAATGTCAAGTGATGATCAGGATCAAACAAGGGGATGTAGCTCAGATGGTAGAGCGCTCGCTTAGCATGCGAGAGGTATGGGGATCGATACCCCACTTCTCCATCTTTTGTTTTGTAAACATTGATTTTTGACACCCAATGCCGATGCCTCATTTGGTAAACTTTGGATGGCGGTGACCTCAAACTCAAAGCCCTTTTTTCAACAACATCCTCCTCCTCCTCCTCCTCCGTCGTCTCAAACTCCTCCACCGCCTTTCATGAAAATATTTACAAAACGTGAGGGCCAACTACTTGGAGACTCAATTAAATGAACATAAACGACTACCTATTTCGTCAGCGAGTTTCTTCCATCTGCAGTTGGCAAAACTTACTACAAAATTACATAACCTACTCCGGACTCGTTTGACATTGTTTCTTAAACCGTCAAAAGTGCTTTCAAACAACCAAAGATATTTCCCACATCGGTTTTAATAAAAACTTAAAAAGTACGGCTGTGTTCAAAACATTTTGAAGTGCTAATCCGTAAAACAATTTTGTCGTGTTTCCTTAGGACGCTAATTTTTACGCACCCTTCTTATCCTCTCACACACACTTTCTATTTTTAATCCATCTGATTAAATAAATTAAACAAAAGCAACAAATAGATTATACATAGTTGTGCAAGAGACGAAAATGTGTGTTTATCATTCCCGTTTCCGGTCCCAAAAAATAAAATTTCAACAACAGTGCTTATACAGAAGCTTATACTCGATGTCTAATTCTCCCGTAGACATAACGGGATCTAACAATCAGGGTACTCCTCCATATCTGAGTCACAATTCAACAAACCCATACTAAATTACCAATGTACATCCACATTGGATTAAATTGCTAAACCAATAAAATTTTAAAATAAAAATGATTAATCTGTACAAAATCTTTTCCCTACCACTTTTAACTGGTAATGATTCCTTGCGGCAATCAGAGAACGACCTTCATAATAATTTTTAATTAGAACGAAAGGGAGATTAAAACAAAGGGGAAAAGAATCCTGATGTGCTAATGTAATTCATTAATCCCTACTACTTTTTGTCTATATACGCGCCTCCGGCACCCTCACGGTAGTCAAAGCTGCAAAGCTAAATCCGGCTGCTGTTGCAGACCGATTTGAGGTGAGCCGGGTGCACCCAGTTTGACGTTCAAGTCAGAGGGGAATGAATAAGAAACCTGTTTATTGTGTAATGATGACCCGTGCCAGGATGCTTCCCCACCAAGCAGATGGCTAGATCTCGATCCACTTGAAATTTCTGGCAATTTGGCTTCCTCTGAAGCAATATGCTTGATAGGCATTTGATGGATGATGGCGTTGCTCTCGGAGGCCTTGCTGAGCATTTGAGAAGGCACTGATTTGTCAGTTGAAGATGACATCCCTGGTAATATGGCAAGTATATTAACATTCTCATTCGTGGTAAAACATATACAATACGTAAACAAACCTACTACTCGAACTATAGTTTACCAGAGTGATTTGTGAAATTCTGCTGAACCGGGAAAGGAGGCACAGGTCTTATCCCACACGCACCATTGTCAACTGATGCCGCTTCATTATGGGAACTCAATTGTCTCCTACTTTCTACGTTAACACCACTTTGTAGCGAAAATCTATTTGGAACAACAGATTTTGAGCATAATGTATTTCGAGGTAGAAGTCTGTCTGAGTGGTCATCAGATGCAGGGTTGCTTTGAACCCTCTGTTCCCTCTCACAGATTGAAAACTGTGGCAACCTTGATGTCTCATTTTCTCCAATCCATCCCGGACCAAACTTGATTCCACTAGGCAAAACACTTCCAATTTTCTTTGAAGCAACCTTCCAAGCAATGGGTCCAAGATTTGCAGCAAATCGAGCTAGACTCCTTGCATATCCATGCTCAAATTGTAGACCTACCTGGTTTATATATTGGGGAAAAACAATAAAACAAACACTAAGAAATCATGTTATACAAGAATCATATTTTTATACAAGTCCGACAAATAAACGTATAGTAGATCTACTGTCTTTTTAGTTTTTATAGATTTTTGAAGACTCCTATAATCTCCATATTGAAGATCCACTTCTCTATTTTCTAATAGCAACCCCCTTACCCATCATCTTGCACATCACTGAAAATTTCCAGTCTCCCATTCAGAAAAGAATACAAGAACGTTCTCATTATACATACCGCCACAAGTTGCTTCCATTCTCCTTCACAACCAGAAAAGATAGATGGTTCATCGCCTGAAGCCAGAGCTTGTGTATAAGTGTCACGTCTATTCTCATCTACAGTAAAATGTTTCTTTCCATACTTCAGATCACTCCTCAATACCGAAGCTGCAACCCAAAAAGAAAAAAAAGGAAAGGCTCAATGTTTGTTCAATAAACTAGAGAATCAAAATAAAATCAAGCAATTCGTCCAAAAAATAAAGAAAAAAACTGAAACTGAATAAGGGGTACAAATCAGTGAAGCAGGCGCACTTGAAATTACAAACCTGGAAATTCATTCTCCCAACCAGGCAACCAACTAGCACCAGTTTCACCACTAAGATACCCATGGGGGGCCATATTTAAGGCATCAGAAGACCTGAACTTATGGGGAGCAGGCCGTCTTAGATTATATGTGCCGGATAAGTTAGAATTCTCTCCTCCAGAAGCAAGAGTAGTTTCAGATACAATTTGAGGACCTACACGATCAACAGGAGATCCTTCAATTGACTTTTTCATGCTCTTGCCAGGTGGCCTGCCTCTCCTCGCAATTTTTGGTTTCGGATCACCATCTTCGTTCACTTGCCTCAAATTTTCGAAGTCCTTTTTTGCGAGCTCTTGTATAGATCGTGCCTAATGAAATAGTCATTGTTAACCATCAAACATGATCAGATTGCCTAAATAGGAAGAAGTGTAAGTTAGACGGGCCTAACCTGTCGAAAGTAAATAGTGTCTGGTGCATTATACTCCATTGCATTTGAACATATCAAGAACACATCTTTCTGCAAAAGTTAAACATTAAAACTTAAAAACCTGTCACAACAACTAATTTAACAAGAAAATCAAACCAGAAATAGAGCATGGTCATAAGCAATGAGATACCATCGCAGTTTAGTGCACCAAGAATAGAGTTCGCATAAGATTGAATCCATGGTGAATCACACCATTTTTCTATTTCTAACATTCCCGTGATACATCAAGATGCCAAAGAAATAAATGGTTCTTAAAATAGACCAAAGTTAATAACTTGAATACTGAATGGAACGACAAATTGCACTATGTTCTCAGTCCTGGATTCATTTGCCCTCTTTAACTAGCAAAAGACTAAACTTGAATTAGCATGCCTTATATTACAATAATTGACATCTCCGTAATTTCCAAAAGACAATAATCCCTGATGTTCTTATCAATCATACAAACACCATATCTAGGAAACACCCAACCCTAAACAGTTCATTTATTCCTACAGCTGGTGGGGGGGAGAGTGAGCAGGCAAGGGAGATGAGAAAGGGAAGAGGACGCAAGTAGATGGTGACATTGATGCAACTGTGGTGGGTGAGTCCGTGTGTGTCACAACTGAAAACTAACAAGAAAAAGATTGTAATACGAACCTCAAACTGTTCCAAACTGGAGTAAGCTCCCTGATCTAGTTTTGTCCGCACAGTTCCAAAATCCATTGGGTTTTGAATGATTTCGTGATAATCAGGAAGCTGAACACACCAACATGATTACATCAAACCACGAAATTGTTACTCGTAAAACAAGCTAAGATTAGCATCACAACAAGCAATTTCAACATAAGTAAAACATACCTCTTCTGGATCAACAGGCTCAGAGAACACCCCGCGAGTGTCCTTTCTGCAAGAAAGTTGAGACCAACGAGTGAACATCCATGGCCATTTCAGAGAGTCAATGAAAAGACAAAACAACTTTGGAACCTAAGACACTTACTTTTGAAGCCTATCAAGGATGAACACCAACAACTTTTTGTCTGGCAAAGGTGTCGTGGGACCGGACTCAACCTGCGACCCTGTCCACAGGTAAAAGTTGACAGTCATTAGAATTTAACCCCCGGGAGAGCTTTTGAGCAAGAATTGGGATTGATTAACAGTGTCATACCATGTAATATACTACTACTGTCCGTCGCTTTCAAAATCTCTTCTTGGCTCTGCAATGCAATAAAACCATTAACAACAATGTCACTGCTAAAATTACCATTAACACAAACAAATCATATTTAATTTATAACTTAATTTTCTGCAATCATTGGAAAAGTAAATGAACAAATAAATCAAGAAAAGACAAAGTGAAGCTTTTCAGACAAAATGGTGTGCGTCTTTCTATAGTACAATTTAACCAGATGAAGAATTTAAATTAGGAAATAAAGAAAAACTGCCCAGATTCCAAATATATAAATAAAAATTAAATAATGTCCAAGTCAAACACATCCCCCCACTACTCCATTCCGTCTCCCCAAAAACAGCTTCTGGTTTTCGCGCGAAAATCCCTAAAAGATTCTAATTCCGAAATAAAGCAAAAATATATATATTTCATTACTTTTTCAAAATTAAGCAAAATAAATAAATAATTTCGTTACTTTTTTCGATATTAAACAAAAATAGAGAGAATAAGTGCAAAAAGGACATGGGTTTGTGTTTAATTTTGAGAAAAGCAAAAGGGTTTTAGGATTTGTAGTGTGATGATCACCATATGATTAGATCCGTGATGGAAGGTGCTGATCTTGAGAGCGGCCCCCGGATCCTCACCACCCGCGTTCGAATCGGAGCCGAAGGGGCCCGAATTAAAGGGCGACAATGTCGGAGCCGAATTGGGATTAAAAGCGAGGAGGGGCTTGTGCTTCTTCTTTGCGCGCTCGTCGTCGGCGTCGGCATCGGAGAGGGAATTGGACGGCGGGGATGAACCGAGAGGAGTAGGGTTCCGGCGAGTGGATAGACGGCGAGGGTTTGGGGTTTGGTCCTGCTGCTGTTGTTGGAGGAGGGCGCGTTTCTGGAGATCCAAGAGAGAAGGACGACCTTTCTTCTTTTTGGTTGGTGGATTATCCATCGTCGTCATCGGCCGGCGCTTCTGTCTTCTGATGCCTCCGCCTCGCCCCCTTCACCTACTATTCTATTCTATCCTCCCTCCTTTCTTTTACTCTCTCTCTCTCTCTCTCTCTCTCTCGCTCCCCCTCTCTCTCTCTCTCTCTCTCTCTCTAAATTCCAATTAAGATGCTTTTCCTTTATTATTTTGAATAATTTTTATTTATTAATTTTTTTACCTTTATTCCTTTTGAAAAAACTATTTATCTCTTGTGTTTTGGGTAATGTTATTCGGACTTTCCACATGTATCGTTATATCTAAATCATATTAATAAAAAAATTAAAAAAAATTGTCAATCAAAAGAGGATACAAATTTTATTTAAACTTATAACCTCTTTTTACATTTAACTAAAAATTTAAATATTAATTATATTTTTTACCCTATTGCATAATTATCATCAAATACAATATGAAATTAATGATAAAACTTAAATTTATCAATAAACTCACACCCTATAATTAAACCCTACCATCACTTCTTGTTAATCCTACGTTCATTTCATTCCAGCTAAAATCCTAAGTTCTTATAGAGAAAAAAACAAGTTTTTTTTTTATTGATAGATGGTGATAAAGTTTTGATCAATCCTCTAACTCCTCTAACTAAGTTATGACTCAACTTATGGAAATTTTTTGTTCAACAACAATTAGATTACAAACAAAACAATTTGGTTTATGCCCAAAATAACAGCTACTGTACTTGAATATGCTCACAAAACCTTTAACCCTCAGAAGATTCAATCATATTCAAAACTCAAGATTTTGATTAAAACAATACGAGTATAAATTACCAAAAATGTAACCGTGAAGATGAATGTTAGTTTTAAACAACTATTTTTTCTCCAATGTTAATAACAGCAGCCTTTGACACACCCTGACCTGGAATGTCTACTAGGACCCCGAATCGAGCTGTGTTGGCCGACACCTGGAAGGTGACGAAGCCATAAAGTGTGATAGTGTATAAAATGTGAGTAAATTAAAACCTAAAAGTGCTTAAGTACATGAGTGCGCGATAAGCGGGTCTGGACCCATTTCACGCATGATACAAAGCATAGGTATGGTACAGTAAGGTAAGATAATGATTATACCATCATAAGAAGACATCTGTACTAAAAAGTGACACAAATCCTCGTCGATACGGAACTCTGCTGCTAGAACTTGGAGCGGTGCAAAAATAGAAAATGTGAGTGACTTTTCAAATCAATTTCAATTACCAAAGGCAGTAACCCCTCGCCGTAACACCTGTATATCTCAACAAGAATAAGTAACCCAGGTGAAATAAATCAATATGAAATGGTATGTCAGCCGAATCCACCTATTGTGGCCTGTACGGCCGAACCAATAGTTCATCAACATGCTAGCCAATAGCTCATCAACATGCTAGCCAAAGTCACCTCACATGACATGTATGACTAAATCAATAGCTCATCAACATGATAGCCAATAGCTCAATAACATGCTAGCCAATAGCTCTTCAACATACTAGCCAATAGCTCAATAAGTATACCTGCACATGAGTCTGAACCACCTAAAGTGGTCTGCACAACACGACTAGGTGTAAATAAACACACTCAAGTGCTACGATCACGTGAAGACTGTGTGAATAATCGCGGGTCACCTATGAGTCGAAACCACCTTTTGTGGTATGTACGCAAGACTGTGCATCTACCTTAGATCCAAGGTAAGCGTAAGGTGTAGGAGGTGAACATCACGTGAAGGACTATGCCCTAGCCAAGCACTAACACCGAGGTGCAAGTTTATGAGCTCTAACTGCATCTAATATAACATGTATGACTCATGGGCAACCAATACGACAAGGTTGGAGTTGCCTATTATGTAAACTATTGGTTCTATAGATAAGAGTTCTAAGACGTGACTGAATAATTGTTCTAGGTGAGGATCGTTCGTGACATCTTGATATTCATGCTGCGGTGGAATCGGGCTCAGGCCGAAATGTGACAGCCTTATTAGTCACTAGTATATATATACAAAGAGTATCGTTTATTAAAACTCAAGGCTTTGTTAGATATATTGACACTTGCCACGAAAACAATTGAAGAATTTGGATATGGATTGGAATTGAGACCAGTTAGTTGAAGAGATCACAGTGGCAGGAGGGACAAAAGACCCATAATGTTTTTTGACTTTCGAGTCTCTTTGAAAACAAAACTATTCAATTTGAGAATTTATTTTTTAAATGGGTGTAAATATGACTTTACATTTTGAATTGGATATGAGTGTATATAATAAGTTGGGTATAAAAAGAAGTTAAACAGATTCAAATAAAATTTCCCAAAATATAATTATGGGCAGTAAAATAAATTTAGTCAAACTAAATTTTTACACTTATTTCAAAACCTCATCCACCATAACATTCTCTAATTTTGAAAAATAAAAAATATATATAAAAAAAATAAAAAATAAAAAAACTTCTCTCTCGAATTCATATACTTTTTTTCTCCCTTTTTTCCTTTCCATTTAAAAAAAAAATTATCTTCACAAACAAAATGTGAGGCATATGCTAATTAATAAATAATAAAAAATAAAAAAAATACAGAGTCCACAAATTGGGGTGGGCTCACTTTTACCGCAAGACGGCCCAAAATGACTGTCCGTCTAACCCTTTGAATAAATTGGGATGCGAGTGATACAAGAGAAATCATTATCTAGGGTTTTCCCCTGTCAGATCAGTTTTGTCTCGCTCTCATCTCATCTATCCAAATCCAATCTCTCGGTCTTGCTTTCTTTCTTGCTATCTGCAGGCAGGTATGTTGTGGTTGTTGAAAATATTACAGGTTATTTATTGACTGGAATAGTCTGTTTGCCTAGTTGTGCTTATGTGCGGGCTGCTTTACAACTGCTACATGTTTCTTGCCGACTACTTTTGCTTAATTGACGAGTCTTTCTTTCATTGATCCAGCACATCAGGTTAAGGGAGAATTTCAAGTATAATGTCGCTGAACATGGACTGGCTGTTGTATTTGAACATGAGCAAACATCTTTACGTTCTTGATGTTAGTAGATGGCTGGATTGGTACTCTAATGAGGACGTTAAGAAGTCGTTTACTAGGCCTGAGTTTAAAATTGCCTGTAGTCGTCAATCTGTTGTTGAGTTTGAAGAATTTCGTTACATGATTGCGTATTCGGAGCCGTACGTGGTTGGGGGGTCAGTTGTCACCCGATTACATAGTTAAAGAAAGGGTCAACCTTGCTGTTGATGCACCCTTGTCTGCTCCCAAGCTTGATCCTTGTGTCGTCACGATAGACGGTAAAATCTACGTCCTTTCCACACGCTTCTATGATGGGTGCATCAAGAACAAAAAACCTCCATTCATCATTGGTCGTACGCTCAACTCCTCTTGTCCTTTTATCGGTCACTACGGCGTGTGGGGCCAGAAGCTCATTGTTAAGGATCCCGTTACGGGCAAAAACTACATCTTCAACACCCATGAAGAGAAATGGAAAGAAGCATCGGACATCCCGGACGCTACCGTCCCTTGTTCAGCACAGTTCAAGCAGTTTCTAGTTTCTGTCGAAGATGGGCACGTGTATGCTTATCCATTTGATGAGGCCAATGGAACCCCCCAACGTGTTGCAGAGCTGGTTCAGCTTGAGAATATCATTTTCCGTTACCCAAGCACTTACCCTCCATTCATTGCCAATTGTGGTGATGACGGTCTTATGTCCGTAGTGTGTTCTGGCATTTATAAGGAGCGGCAGCATCACAAGCCCTCCTGGGCACGTGTAGTGGTGTTCCAATTGTGCATCGAAGGTCTTCCTCCTAATCAATTCGTCTGTGTTGATATCAAAACAAAAGGAACATTCTATATCGATTCGGATCCAAGTCCAACTTCTGGATGAAGTATTGCCTACCCTACGACAATGATGGTCCAGACATCTTCCAGCTACTTACCACGTAAGCAATTATTTTTATGTCCCTTGAGCTTACGAATTCAATCGTTCAGAAAATGGTGATTAGTTGTGAGATCCACTCAAAATAGAACTTGAACGATTTGAATTATTTATTTTGTAAGTCTCGATTCATATATTATCTTTGCAAAAATTCAATTTAATCAGAAACCATTCGCCTATTTAATTATTACTATGAAATTTTAATGTTTCTTAGAGAACAAAGTGTTCATCAATTTTTTTTTAACTCAATTAGATGCCTCAAATATTTTCAATTTAGTTAACAGTTTCACGAGGATTCATGGACATGGACACGGACACGGATAATATATGACACGGGGACATGTTAAATTTCTAAAAATGAGGACACGATATGTCAGGGATAAGGCAATTAAAAAAATATATAAATAAATAAATATAACTAAAATATTATAATATAAACATTCAAATTTATTACTCAAGTTTAAATTTATTTCAATAAACTCCAAACAATTAGAAAGATAGTCCATCCAACAAGCAATTAGTCTTCAAACTTGAAAAATTAAAATGAACATCCAAACGAAAATTAAAAAAAAAAACAAAGTCTCATTCAACTTCCACATTCATGATGTCTCCTCCAGTAACTAAAGTAATCTTCAATGACGGTTCATCAAGTGAAAGGTTAGCTACTTCAAGCACCCCCGACACTTTCTTCACCCAAGTTTTCAAAGCCATCTCCTCCAACATCTCACAATTGAGTAATACCTTCTTTGTAGGTCGAGCTATTCCTTGATAAAAGACAAAGATTATTATGCACAAATACCAAATCCTCGGCTCTTTGTGGTGTAATCTTGTTTCTTCCTAAAGAGTGAATAAAACTCTAAGTGCTCCAATTTCTTTCACAACAAGAGGAGGAACAAGGTTGTCCAAGTAGCTTCAACACTATGGATTGGAGACTAGGTGTAGAAGCTCCATGGAATCCACCACATCACTGGTTCCAAATGAAACCTGTCATTCATAAAATCAATAGCTCCAAATTCATTCAAGCACATAAAGAAAGAGGCATACTCCACATTGATATTTCTTCTAATTTCCTCATTTGGAAAAGTATCTCTCAAAGCACTTTTTCATTTCAATTGTAAGTTCAACATCTCAGTGTGGAGCAAGACGACTAGGGTTTTCTTGGAGCCATTCTGAACTATAATACCTAAATTAAAAGAAATAGTAGTTTAAAAATGTACTCATAATGCTAAAGATTAATTTAGAAGAATTTATAAGGAAGTTAGCAAAATCATTACCTTGGATTTAATGAATGTGCCAAACAATGAAGTGGTGTGCTACTTTTAGTCCATCGCTCCAATAAAATGTGATACACCGCATAAAAAAAACTGCTTTTTTCATGTAATGTCTTGTGCTCATTCCTGTATATAGAAGCATTCACCTTTTCAATCATAACATCCCACCACTCATACACCAAGTGAAGACAAGGTTTATCTGTGTCAGCCATTCTAATAACCTCATATATTGGAGCTGTAAAGAAAAAAATATAATCAATATTCTCCCAAAAATCCTCATCCAATACCTTTTGCTTCACCATCATTGCTTTTAACCAAATCATCTTCTTTGTACAAAGCCCAATTCGGGCTAATCACCATTTGTTGCAAACCTTCCTTTATTTCGTTAAATCTTCTAAGCATCACAAGTGTGGAAGCAAATCTTAAAATTTTAAAAATTAGGAAAGTTTATAATTGAATAAGGGAAAAAAAAAGTGGAGAAAACAAACCTTGTTTCGGCAATGGAAAGTAACTTTAGTTTGCAATGTTCATTAAACAAGGACAATCTCATGCTATGGTTCATAATTAAAAAATTTATGGGCCAAGCATCACTAGCAATAGTTGAAATCCAAGTGCAGTCATCATACGAAACATCTGTTAGTTTCAGAGAACATATACTCTTCACAGCAAGATTAAGAGAGTGAACAACACAGGGTGTCCAAAAGATATGGGGATAGTGGGCCTCAATAAGTAACCCAGTAGCTTTACAAACAGGGGCATTATCAGTGATTACTTGAACAACATTTTCATGACCAATTTCTTTAATAGCTTATGCAAGGAAATTGGCAATACAATGTTTGTCTTTGTATTCACCTTCGCAATTAATTGCCCTCAAGAACATTGGCCCGCTTTCACAAGTTGCCATAATATTAGTAAGTGGTCTCCTTTGAGCATTTGCCCACCCATCACTGCAAACACTTACTGTAATACCCTAAAATTTTAAAATATATGTATATGTGGAGTAATTGAGAATAAATAGATTTATGGTTATGAAATTCGAATGGGGAAAATGTGAAATTCTGCTTCAAGATTTCATTATTAATTATGTCATATAATTTTTCGTTAAGTGGAAAATGATGAAATTGCCCTATTGTATTAAACGGATTTCCTCGCAAATCCTTTCATGATTTTCCAGATTTCTTTACATATTCGAATAGTACGTTTCGATACGGACGCATGAGCGCAAATGAAATGTGATTTGGAGTTAGGACAAGTTACGAATTTTCTAAATAAAAGGACATTTTAGTAAATTCAAGTGGAACTTTCTGGAAGCCAATGACTTCCTTTTTCTCCTTCCCTGCGTGAGAAACCAGTAGTGAGGAGGTGGCTGCTGTGTTCCTCTTCCCTTTAATTCTCCTTCACTCCAAAAATTTCAAGGAATCATAACTTTCTTATATGGTAACGAAATCACGCACGGTTGAAGCTTATGTATTCGTAGCGAAGCCCTCTTCAATTTGATATGGAACCAAGCATGCCCGTATGTTGAAGCCTAGAAGCTTTGACGCCGATTCCGGCTAACCTCACCGGAGATAGGTCTCGACCCAAGAGAGAAAAATACTTCTCTCTTCATGCGCTTTCAGGATATCTAAGTGGATCTTCCGAATTTCAAGTTTCCTTTTCCAACAAGTTTGAGATTTATGTGTTTAACTTGGATTTTTGGTGTTCTTGTTGAGGAGTTGTGGTGGTAACATTGATTTAGGAGCTTAGTAGCTATGTGGTAGATTGATGAACAACTTTGGAAGGCAGGACAAGAACAAGAAATGGTACATACTTTAATTTTATTGAATTGTTTGTAGTCTTTAGCTACAAGAGGAAGAATTAAGCATGGTATGGGTAAGCTAACACATAGAAATAGAAGTTAAATATGATTCCTGGATAGTTTGGGATTGCCTGGAATTGTAAATTTGATTAAAGGAGTATGGGTTTAACATTGCAGAATACTTGTTCATTTTACAGAGAGAAACTATGTTTCAAGTAGCCTACTTTGGCTCTTGATTTCTATGTCCTCATGAGTTCCTTTTGATCTAATATTGTGTGTTTTGAAATTAGACATGTTTGTGATCAAAACCCATATGATTTCACTAAATTCTGTTGAATTTTGATTGATCAAAATTATATCCAAAGTTGGGTCACTGGGCTGCTAGACAGCAGCAGAAAACTGGATTTCCAGTTTCAAGACTCTATTTTCTTTTTGGCATAACTTCCAATTTAGAACTTTGTTTTCTACAAACTTTATATGCCTTTAAAGTACATAACACAAGCTTTAAAACCCATATAATATTATACAATTTGGTTTAGTTTTGAATGCTCGAAGGGGAACCTAAACTTGGTCCAATAATGCTGTTTTTCTGCAGATTTTGTGGAGAGATGTTGTTCTAGAATGCATAATGACGAACTACGAATGACTTGATCTCTTCGCAGGGTACGTAGGTAGTCTACCGAGACGGTTAGATGCAGCCATAAAAATAACCCCAAATTTAATATTTCGCTAGATTTCTTTTAACGAAAGAAATTTGTTATGGTTAATAGCGTAGAGATTAGCCATGACTTTATTTTGGCCTATCATCGGATTTAGCTTCCGAATTAGAAATATTGGGATGTTACAATTTCACCTTTAGTGCTCCATGTGCACTTGATGGGTTGGAGGCACCGCTCAATGTGACTCTTCTCTTGTTGCAGAAGAGTAGTTCTCAGTGCGTTGTAACCTGGTGGAACATACCCTGGAAGTGTAGAAGCACGAACAAATGAGTTTCAATAGTGTAGATTTTTTGCTAGGTTAAATGATAAGCCACTTTTATAAAATATCCTTGCAACTTCATCATCACATTGATCTCGAGCCTCCTTGTTAAAAGCTTTCCTGAGAGGCCCACTTGTTCCCTTTTTCTTATTTGGATCAAGATTCGCTTTAGGTAGATCATAACATAAAGAACCAATATTGGGCAACAAAACATGCTTAGGAGCATAACTCTTCAACTTGTATTCACACTTTTGGACTAACTTTTTCATTTATGCAAGAGTTTCATCAGTAACCTTGTTGCAAGGCGCAATCCCATTTCCAGACATTTTTTACAAATGAAACTTGACCCTAGAGTAGGATCCTTTATAAGTTTTTTTTGACAATAATTGCATTCAAATTCAGTATTTCCTCCTCCTTTATTTCCCACTTTTTCGAGCTTTTTGACATACTTCCACATCGGAGCATTATAATTTTCAACAATCTCATCCAGATTAACATTATCATTCGCATGATTATCAGAGTGATTCATTTTCCTAAATTAACAAACATATAAACAATAAGAGTCAATCCACTGTATAAACAGAGGCTATTACATGAGAAATTTATATTAACTTAAGAGATAAAAAAATGTATCATGAAAGTATATACATAAAATATTATAATCTAAATATCTAGATCACTGTATTTTCAATTTACATAACAGATAAGCTAAATATCATGAAAGCACAATAATATCTAGAACAGTGTATTATAATCTAAATATCATGAAAGCATAATAGTATATTATATTAATTACAATAATAATATTATATATAAAAAGCAAATGAAATTATTATTAGTATTCTAAAAAATTTTGATCTACACTTCAAACTTTCTATATTTAAAAGAAAAATATCCTTATAAAAATGTAAAATTAGATTTTCGGAATAACAATAATACTCCCAAAGCAAAAAAGTGCTTTTAGCTTTTCCAATTTACATAACTTTTACTTCGAAATCAAAAACAGAAAAGCAGGCTCTTTTGGTTCCAGAGATGAGTTTTGGGAATCAGATTGAGATGCAAAATTAACAAAGTCGAAAGCCCTCACCAGCAGACGGAGACGATGGAGACGACGGAGCAGTTGCAGACAGAGACGATAGAGACGATGGAGCAGACAGAGACGATAGAGACGACGGAGCAGTTGCAGACAGAGACGATGGAGACGACGGAGCAGTTGCAGACGACAAGTCTGATTTCTGAGGTTCGAGTGAGGAAAAATAGGTAAATCTGAATTTTATACCCGAAATCGTTTTGGTTTTTAGTCAACAATCGTTTCAGTTTAGCCTCGCTCTAATTTTCTTTTGCTCCCCGTATAACTTTGATGCAATCATGATTGCATTGTTTTTTTTTATTTCCCTTTTTGGCTTTCATTTGTCTCGTGTTTTCTATTTTAAATTAACGGTGGTGAAACCTGAGTTCTTTCATTTTACAGATGTGGTGATTGGAACAAGTATGAAGCTTCCTATATATATATATATATATATATTAGGCTGTAGTACATTACATATAATCTTAATTTCTTATTTAGTTGTTTGCTTGTTGTGTCTTTTAAAAAAAGATTTCCGCTCTTTGGGGAAGGAACAGAAGCAACAGATGGTCGTCGCAACCGCAAGAAGAAGAAGCGGCCAGTTCTGAGAATGATGAAGCTACAACCTCTGTACAAGAAGAACCCTGTGAGTATAAATTATTATGAATTGTTGGAACTAACAAGTTGGCTGGTTTTTGTTAGTTTAATCATGTGGTTGAGAATCGAACAAAATTAATTGTATGATATGCAGGTGAAACGGATCTTTATCACCGATGAAGATGACGTCGGGTGGCCCTAAGCAAGCGATGGGAGAGCAGCCTGGCGAAAATAAGGCAACCTAAGCCTGGCCGACTTGGGCTGCAGTTGGTGGGTGCGAGTTGACGGTCTTCTCAATCAAAAAGTTTCCTAATCCGCTTATCAAAATTTGAGATTTGATTAATACGTACTAGCATATGCCCATAAAGTGTTTCTGAACATTTTTTTACCTTTGTTTTTAGAATGGAAGGAGAAGGAAGAGAACGTGGGATGAGAAGAGAGGAGAGAGTTTATGTTTTATTTTTAATACATACTGCCTATGTTATTTATTTTTGTTCAGTTTTGATTAGAGTGTTGGAATGGTAATTTTATGAAGTTCTGGTTGACAATTAGTATTTTATTAATATATTTTTTTTATTCAACGACATATATATCTAGGAAAATTTTATTTGAAATCATGTAATCTTTTTTTACATCCAATTTACTCTCTTTACTTATATTGTTTTTTATTAAAGAGTTAATCTCTCTTTAAATCCAAATTTATTACTTAATCTACTATCTCAAATCTAATTCAAAATGTTAAGTTATCTTTACACCCATTCCTTTTATAAAATAACATCTATAATTGATTTTTTTTTTTTTTTTTGAAGAGGCATCCTTGCCCCACCCCCTATTCCCACTATCATTTCCATGGCTACTTCCCCTTTTTTTTTTTTTTTTTTTTTTTTTTTTTTGTACATTTGCCTTTTTTCTTTCTATTGATGTGCATACGCAACAAATCAAACAATTCATCCCCTTATATTTATCAACAAGCAAGGAAGTTTATCATCTAAGAACAATTGGTACGAAGTTTTTCCTTAGAATTTTCCAATTATAGAAAGTTTAACAAACAGTTTGGAAATGATGAAAAAAATGAAACCCAAATATTCATCTTCTAAACTTTAAAAAAAATTGAAATTAAATGAACAAAATATTCATAAATTTAGTCATATATCAGTTGGAGGATTCAAAACTTCGAAATCATCATCCATCACCAAAAAAACTTGTTTTTCTCTACAAGATCTATTAGCGTTTTAGCCAAAATGAACGTAGAATAAACAAAAAGTGATGGTAAGGTTTAATGGATTTATTGATAAATTTGAGTTCTTTTATTAATTTCATTTTGTACTTAATAGTAATTATGTAATAGAATAAAATAGATAATTAACAATTTAAATTTAAGTTGAATGTAAAAAAAAGTTACATGGATTGAAATAAAATTGTCCATATATCTATACTTTGTAGTTTAGATAATTACAATTTTTACTTTTATATGGAATGTGAAACTTTTTGACTCGAAATTGACTGAAATCAGATGTTCCCATCCAACTTGCACCCTCAAAACCTTCCCCCAGTGAATCATGACCAACACACATACATGGTATGTGCCTTTTTCATTACTGATTCTACGTGTCATCCTTTTCTACAATTGAGATAAATTAGACCCTACATATTTTCCCTTTCACAATAAATGTTGCTAAAGCTACTTTGCCGTATCCTATAGGGCAAAATTTAGATAAGTAAATTGAATGAAGATAAATGGTCTGTCTTTCTGTTTGAATGTTCTTTTTATTATCTTTTATTTGTATAATCATGGTTAAGTTACGTCAACATTTTATATTCCTATTGTTTTTTATCTTATTATCTTTATAAAAAATCAATCAATATAAAATGTTGACGTAGTTTAACCGTGACCGTACAAAATAGGAAATGATAGAATGACATCCAAACAGAAGGGCAGACAATCTGCCTCCAAATTGAATGCCAAGTAGGTTGCCTAAAAATTGTACCTAGTAGCTCAGAGAGGCTCTATATACAAAAGCCATAATTAGTAAGACAATCCAAGTACAAATTATTCTTGTACGTGAAAGATTTTAAGTTGAAATCTCGCTAAAGTTGAATTTGAACCAAATTTATGGCTAATCATTGTAAAGCTTTAGCTTACTCATCAGTCTCTTAGTATTGATTATATCGTATTATTAGAACATACAAACTCCAAAGTTGATTTCCTTAATACATGTGAAAAGGCTTGTGTTCATTTAATATAATCAAAATCGTGGCACCTAGAGGAGAAGAAAAACTTCTATTGAACGAGTTTACAAAATGTGATATTTTGATTTAATAATGTATGAGAAAGTCTAAGAAGAATCTTTCAAAGTGAGATTTTTTATAAATTCTTTATCATTAATTTATATACTAACATTAAACATGAGATATAAAAAATTTATAAAAAATCATACTTTTGGGAAAATTGTTTGAACATTTTTTAAAAAGCATTACCGCGTGAAGAAAATCGGCACACATCAATGTATTAATGACCTTAAACGATAAGGGTGAGGAAGAAGCGGCGCCTCCGAAACCAGCAAGTGACACGACAGGCTGTTTTAAATGCTCTGACTACTAAACAAACAAAACATAGGCAGAGGAATTGGTGCTTACCCAATTAATTAATTAATTAATTGCGTGTGGTTAATCCGATCACTAATTAATCCTATTTAGCACACTCGAATCTCGTATAAGACCAAAACCAACGGATTAAAGGATAAGGACTATTTTACTAAGGTGGGTTTTGATACAGACGCTAGATTTTAAAATTAGGATTTAGATTCTCTCTTGAGCCTAATGATAGGATCCTCTTGACCAAAAAACTTGAGGCGTTGGATAAAAATCCAACGACTATAATTATTTTAACTTTAAAGGGACCCCTGTTTGTAACCGTTGGATTTTCATCCAACGATCCAAGTTATTTGGTCAGAAGGATCCTCTCCTTGAGCTCAGGAAAGGATCCAAGTCCTTAAAATTAGGGTGTATTCAATTGAGAATTTGAGAGATTTTAATGAATTTATAAATATATGGATTTTTATGGAGTTTAATTGATTTGTAGAGATTTCATATAAAATTTTGATTTAATTCTCTCGAAATCTCATGGGAAAAGATGAGATTTGTGAATGCTTAACATACACTACGAAATCTCTTCAATTCCCTCTAATTCTTCAACTTTCTCAAATTCTTTAAAATCAATTTCCAATTAAATACACCTAGAATATTATAAACTTCTTTAAAATCCTAATTGAATACATCCGGATTTCTAAGGATTTTAATAAACTATCTTAAAATTCTAATTGAATACATCATGAATTTCAAAGAACCACTTAAAATCCTGATTGAATACCCTTAAATTTATTAAAATAATTAAAATCTCTTAAAATCCCAATTGAATAAACCCCACAAATAAAGAACTAAACTTAGCCGCTAAAAATTTAGCAACAGGTCCTGCTTACACTCAATCCCAGCTAGACACGTCTCCAACCGAGATTGGATGTAAGTCTTTTCCATAAATAAATATCTGACGAAACAAAAGGCCATTTCATATTTATTCTGATTTCCACCACTCCAATTTCTAACTACAAGACAAATTTTTAACCAAAAAAAAAACAAACTGTTTACATCACTTATGGCATGTTTTTGCAATACTAAAGTGCGGTATAAAAACGTAATCTTTTAAGCGTTATTGAAGTGGAAACAAATCGCTAATAGCAAAATAAGAAAACGATTTAAAAAAAAATAAAAAAAATTTAGTTTGTTTAGTCGGCACACCGCATGTTTGCTTTTATTCATAACCTACTTTTGTGACTGAGAGTAAATTTATTCAAGGGAAACCTCATTGTCACTACACGCCACCCCTCGAATCCAATGATATTGCTAATAGCTTTTCTTTGGCCACCTGTTTTATACAAAACCAGAGCTAGCTCAGGATATACATACATACATACATACATACATACATACATACATACATATATATATATATGTATATCATATTATACATGTAAGTAAGAAGAATCAGTGTGATTGAACGATGTGTATAGCAGTGTTCCTTTGGCAAGCCCACCCTCTTTACCCTTTCCTTCTCCTGCAAAACAGAGATGAATATCACAGCAGGCAAGTCTGTCACCCATCTAATTCACAATTACGCTACCTTTATTTGATTTATTAAGTTCATGGGGTTGTTTATTATCTAATCTTCATATATGTATGTATGTATGTATTTGTACGTATATAAAGGCCTACAACGCCAGTCGGATGGTGGGAAGGTTGCGAGATACTAGGCGGGCGAGATGAGGTTGCAGGAGGGACATGGTTGGCCTGTTCAAGAGGAGGGAGACTCGCTTTTCTTACAAATGTACTCGAGCTGGATACCGACCCGGAGGCAAAGAGCCGCGGAGACCTACCAGTGCTCTTCTTAAAGGTACAGTTTTCGTTCCTTTTTACCTGCTATTTTTTACCATTTGTTGTTCTTGTGCTGTTAGTTTCTGTTCATGTGTTGTGCAAATAAATCAATGGCAGAGCACCAAGACTCCAAAGGAATTTGCACAAGAATTGGCGAAGGAGGCGCATCGGTATAACGGGTTTAACTTGGTTTTGGCAGACATTCCTTCCAGAACCATGATTTACCTGTCCAACAGGCCGAAAGGAGAAGCCATTCTTTTCCAAGAAGTTCCTCCAGGGATTCATGTGCTATCAAATGCAAAGCTTGACTCACCCTGGCACAAGGTTGGTTTGAACTAACCTTACTAATTATGTTAATTACATGGTTGTTTCTGTCATCGATCCAGCACTCATGTACCTGGTTACTGGCTTTATGTCCTGCAGGCTCAGCGCTTGCGGTTAAATTTCGAGGAAGAGATTAAGAAATACGGTGAAGGAGAAATGCCCGTGAAGGAAATGATTCAGAAGCTAATGAGGGACGGAGTTAAAGCTGATAAGAGAGAATTACCTCGTATATGTGAACTTGACTGGGAGTTCAATCTAAGCTCCATATTTGTTGAAGTTGACACTCCACTGGTAAACGCTATTAGCAATGAATTCATAGTCCAGTTACCTGTAAGAATTGAAACTTACATATCCGTCAATTTTCAATTGTGCAGGGACGCTATGGCACCAGGAGCAGCGCTGCAGTGACAGTAAGGCAAAACGGTGACCTGAGTTTTTATGAGAACTATCTTGACAATGATCACGCATGGAAGGAACATACTGTGAACTGTCAAATTCAGAAGCTGAGTTGGTTGAAGGAGATATGGAATCCATAGGTATATGGAGCTCAATTGTTTTACTTGTATGTATGCGTTTCTGAGAATAATGCAGAAGGCCAGGCACAAAACAATAAAATGCAACACCCGCTGCCGTTTATCTGTAGCACAAAACATTGTGCACTTCTATCATTTGTAAAGTGTGACACAGAGAGAATGGAATGTAAAAGGCAACCAAGCATATAACTTTGATCTGAAAGCTGGAATTTTAAAAGCCTTACCTTTTTGTTCCTGTAATTGCAACAACAATTGAGACTTTGTTTCTTCATCTAGCTTCAGTCCTGCTATATCGACCTCCTTGCATGCACTCGTACTCTTTTCCAGCCTCGCAAAAACCATATCGACCTCCTTACTGCCACGCCGCATGCTGCAAGTTTTGTAAATAAAGATGCATGGAAAATAAAAATGAAAAGTAACACGCAACAAAGCATATTGTATTAGACTACTTGTCTTCTAAATCTGGATCAATACCAGAAACAAAAACATCTCTAAACAAGGTTCGAGCACCATGCCAAATGTGTCCGAAGAAGAGTAAAGCAAACGAAGCCGAGCCCAGATTGTCTAAACCAGTCAGAAACACACTCTACAGCTTCAAAATTCTCAAGCCTGATGCACATTCCATGATAAAATAATCCGCCCTTATTAGAGCGTTTTAGGAATCAGGTTGGGGCTTCATATAGCACCATTCATACCCTTGAAGAGATTTTAACACATTGAAATTATGTTTGAGAGCTTTCATCCGATTTTTCAACCGACCCTTTTCAAATTTCCTGCAGTTCTCTCACTATGTTATCATAAGCAGCAATTGAAAAGAACCATCTTCCATACTCTTCATGCATAAATCTCTCAATCAAAAGATCATCCCAATCCCCTGTCCGTTTTATCATATTCTTCCGTTACTCACATCTACCTTCCTTCATTCAGTATCCAGTTCTACTGTCAAAAATTGACCATAAGTTTAAAGCACGAGCTAAAACAATGGTAACAAACTAAGGACTACAGAAAAACAATGTGAATTCTTGAGTACCGAAACCAAGCTATCTCCTACACTGTTGGATAAGCCTAGTAGCTCGCTGAGATTAAAACAAGCGTTAGTTACACGAGTTCTTTCTTATAGATGTCTCTCCAAATACTAAAAGCTTAAGCCAACAGAAGTCACAGAAACTCAGCCCAACACAATGCAGGGAAGAAAGTTGTCTGCAACCGAAGGATGGTCCTTGGTACAGGTTCTAAGAAGCAATGATAGCAATTGTATCTAGCTCTTGATGAAGTTTAAAAGGGATGGCACTGGGGAAAATAAAGAAACAACCAGAGAATACCCAACTCGACGACAAAAAAGTTGTTGGAAGACTCATTAGCAAGACCCATAGTGTAAAATAACAGCGACCAAAACCATCTTTTACCTTTTCTCCCCCTCTCTACACAGCGGAAAGAGTGAATTTTGAAAGCTCCCTTTCCTGATTTCGTACATCTTCAACAATCAAATAAACAGTGAGAACCCACTAAACTTGCACAAGTTCACGACTCACCTTTGACGATAACAAGGGAATAATAACAGCAATACTAAAAGATAAACGAGTAACAAAGAGGCAGTTTATGATTCACAAGGCAAGAAAAAGAGAAAAAAAGCATCATCTGAACTAACACGCGCTGGTGCAAACGCGCACAGCTCACACATAGGATTGTTAGGAACAGATGTGCAAAGGATAAACATAACTTGTCGACAATTGAATCTACCTGAAGTTCAGAGATCAAGTGTAAACCATCATCTGCATTCTGGCCCAGCATACACAAGCGCAAATACACACTCATGCTCACACAAAGGAATATTGTAGCATAGCTTGTCAACAATTGATCAACTTGCCAAATGTTCAGAGATCAAGTGTAAAACATCATCTGCACCGCACACAAAGGCATGCGCAAATATGCTGTCATGTGCAAAGATAGAGCACACACATACACATTCTGTCATATGCACACTTGATCTCACACAGAGGTTTGTATTTGGCCAGCCTCCCAGAAACCATGTAAATTTTAATCATGTCCAAATACACATCATATGTCGGAGAGAAACCTGCTTCCTTGAACTTGGAGAAATATCTTACAGCCCTTGGAAGATCATTCAGAGCAGCAAAAAGCTTTACTGCCACACGATAAGCTGGAAAATCATTGAGACAATTTGAAGCTTCTATTCCCTGTATTTCTTCTGCAAATAGCGACTATGAATCCGAGTTGTGTACCTAACTAGACGGAGAAGAGGGGGGATGTACGGCCAAACCACACGACAAGTGTGTGTGTGTGTGTGTGTTGTGTGTACACATAAACTTAATTCTTGACCACTTATTCATACGGCGGAACCAAAGCAAATTTAGAGTTTTAACAAAAAAAGAAAAAAAGATGTCGTAAGTGAATAATATCATGATTGACTTTTGAGAGTAAAAATATGATTTTTCGTTAAAATAAACAGTATCATGAACTTTTCGTTAAAGTTCCCAAGATTTAACGCACATATAGCTACTTTAGTAGGACCAAGAAAATTTTGGACTTTGGTCCATGTAGAGACAGGTAAGATTATTAACCCACCATGTCACTTTGTAAACTGAACGAGATCCAATTCCGAGTCCCCGTGCTCCGGACGCATAGAAGAAAATTGCACACCTCGAACTCTCGAGGCTCAACACCTTCTAATGAATATTTTTCTTCTCTCTCAAACTATCCAAACGATTTATTTATTTATTTTTCCAAATTGCATACAAACGAATATTGTAGAGAGAAATCTAAGTTCCTGAACATCAGTAAAAGACTTCAGTGCAGATGGGGCCCTGAAATATGGGAAATTAGATGCTCCTTTCAACTGACATAGTCAAGCAAAACAAACGAATTCACATCTTATACTACAACGTAAGGAAAACACAAAAACAAAAAAACATGTGGGAACTGCAAACTTACAGCAATCAGAATCACCCCTACCAATTCCTATAGAAAAAAAATTTCGGAACAAGCATGTCAAATAGTGGCACCCTCTAATTTCTGGGCTGTCGTAGATTCTATGACCACGTAGACCTACCAAATCTCTTTGAAGCTTTGGATTCTCTAGCGGTACATGTACAAATATGTTGACAACAATCATACACAAGAGGAGGGCCATGCAAGGCGATAGATGTAGCTGCTGTGAGCACTCCGAACTTGCTAGGTGGTCACCCTTACGCATGGAGACCCGATGTCACACACATCTGGGTTACAGTATCTGAAGTAGAATAAATAGGATGCCCTTACTTCCGCTGCTTTTTAGCGACGGACTCTGGCTGGATCTCAGCCTGCCAATTTAAACTTTTACATAAGTAAACAGTTAAAGGAATTGAGTAATCACTCAACAAAAACACAATGTCCAGGATTTTCCTACTTTAATTTCGCAAAACTCCAGGTTTTCTTCTTCTTTTTTATCAAGTACATTGTATTAATAATAAAAAGAGGCAAAAGTCCCAGTATATGCTGGGTATGCCTCTACAAGTGTAGTAAATCAATAAATTTCATCAACCCATCATTCCTGCATACGTTCCTGTTCTGTAACCTAAAAGAAAGACTGCATGTGTAGTTCTATGGCTGGGCAACCAGTCTTTGTATATCGTTCCAATTGGTGCAACAAATATATTGGATGAAGTGTATTAAGATATCTATTTTGGGGGGGGGGGGGGGGGGAGTGGGGGGGTTGTGTGGTGGAGAGAGATCCCTTTAGATTAATTTTTACTTTATTTTACAAAATATTATGTTTCCTATCAAAAAGATATCGCCAGATACTTAAGGGAGTCAAAATTACAATACTTCTGGTTCATCAAAATGTCAACTTCCATACTAGCTATGTTATTTGGAATTCTGGAGATACACCTGCAATATGTTCACCAAAAAATTATTTATATGGTTCATTGGGTTTTCTCTTCAGCTTTGTGCCTATAGTGGCCGGTAAAATCTTAAATTCTTTCTGTCGTACAGCCTAAATACTTGATTCTAAATGCGCTAATTTTCAAACTAGTAATCATTTACTAGAGAACATAAACATTTCGGAGATTTTTTGTCATCCATGAAACAGCATAAATGTAGTCGATAAACCGAAAACAAGAGATCAAATACAGAATTGGTTGAGAAAGCTTACAGCACTTGAAAGCTGCTCGCGGATATAGGCCATTGATCTTAGCATGGCACCTAATGTATCCCTAGAAACTTGAAACTTGACCTCTGACTCCCCTGAAGTTGTCTCTGTGTCTTGAAGCTGAAGAAATACAAAACGTTTGTTTATCTTAATCTATCAAACGTTAATAGATGGGAAAAAAAGCCTTCAGAACAACAAATTATTATTACATATCTAGGAGTGACCTCTATTTAATTTTCATTTCAAATCCAGAATAGTCAACAGAGATGGACTCAAGGCTTTAATGTAAGATTTATATTAAGAGTATTAATTTCATTTGAGGGCTAAACATTTAATCTGTTCCAACCTATAAGATGTGTTAGCCCTCATCTTAAGAGATTCAAAAACTGTTTAGATTACCATAGTATATCCCATCAATTGCAACCTCTCTATAATTCTAAACGTTGAGCTATTTAATTTAAATGGTGGGAGAGTCCATACACAAGAGGGGGCGGATGAAATTAAACAGTCGGTGTTCCACATACCCATAGCTTAAGCATATCAACAAGGATTGAAAATGATTAATGTGTGTGTATTTATGCGTGTGCAGAGTTCATCCAGGCAAGTTTAGGAATTGTAGAAGTGCTAGAATCAAGATCAATACAACGGAAATGTTTGTAAAACCAGTATGCTTTTAGGCTTTTGAAATGTGCAACAGGTAACAGATTATATGTTGCATTTCCAATAACCCACAAGTAGAAACGTCTGACTAAATGATGCGATTCTTACATCTTCTTATCTTATTTGATAACCTAGTTGAAGTCCCCCTCCTCTAACGCTTACTTCTACAACCAATAAAATATGCAATGAATTCATGTCTACCAAAATTACAACAGTTGATTTCCCACTGTCCTATCAGCAACTGTGTGAAATAAATCATTGCAACTGCATTCCCGTTTTTCCGAAAATGAACAAACATGTGAAAACTAGTAATTAACCCTCTTTCTTTAGCGTCGGTGTGGTGACCATTTCTCTTTTAGTTTTTAGAGATTGACGAGAAAATTAAAAAAACAAGGGAGAAGGGAGAGACAAAGAAGGGTGGAGGCATGATGGTGGGAGGGTATAGAATGGTACGCATAACAAAATTTAAAACCAAAAACTGACAGTTTCAAGTTTTTGTTTCAAACATTCTTCTTCATTTCTCCATCTTCCCCCGCAACACTCTCCCTCAAACTGTCTTCATCCCTCCGTTACCCCATATATCTTCCCTCTATCACTAACACAAAAAATTATAACTAAAACTAGAAATGAAATGGTTGTAAAAATGACTTCAAATCTTTTTCAGTTCTTTTAAACCATCTATAACATAAGTGGCACAATGTAACAAAGAAAGAATATGAGAAGATGGAAAAGTCTTCCCCGAGATGCTTTGAAACGATATAAATTATTTTCTTTTCTATAGTAGGAAGGAAGGAAACTGCCCAATCTAATAAATACACTATTCTTTTTGTAGGAAACAGAAGGACTACCATGAATTAAAAAGTGGGGAGTATGATCCAAAGTGAACCAGCAGTGACATTGTTTTTATAATAATAAAAAAATAAATAAAAAAATAAAAAAAAGAAAAGAAGATGCAACCTTCAAATGCAAGAAACAACAAAGCAGCATTTGTTATAAGGGAAAAGAAGAAAGTAACCTGGCAAAATTAAGAAACAGAAACTTCCTATCCATATTTAAAAGAAAGGCTGTCATGAAACCCAAAAGAAACCTAAGCCAAAATCTAGCCTTATCCCAGAAGCAGTCCACAAACTCCCCAACCTTCCCCCACAACTTAGGCTGTTTCCTTCCCCAAAAAGTCACTACAAATATAGGATTTCGCAGAGAGAGAGAGAGAATGAAAGCTCTCCGAAGTTCCTCTGAACATAGTGCACCAGTTAGGGTATAAACAAAATTTGGCCTCTTCCATTGAAGGACTCCAGAAGTATTCACCCTTCAACGAGCAACAATCCAAGCCAAAAGTTTAACCTCAGGAAAAACTTTGGCCTTCCAAATCAATTTAGTATGGATTGAAAATAGAGACAGTGCAATCAATAATAAAGGTAAATAAAGTAACACTAAAAGAGGGATCTCATGCCGATTTATCCTTCCAAAACAGAAACACTCCCTCTTTCCCTCTGTCAGTTGGAGCTTCAAACAAAACATAGTAAGGGATTGAAAAATGATTCTCCAAGGGCATTGCCATGAGCCTATCAGCCTACACTGGTTAACAGAAAGATAAAATTGGAAAAGCTTAATGAACACAGCCTAGAGCATTCTGAAGCAATTATCCATCATTCCGCTTGCAGAAGACCAGTTACAAATGCATTTAAGTCAGAAAAATAGCATAAGAGTGTCTCCAAGTGGAACCCCATTTTTCTGTACCCACAAGGAGGCAAAAGCTATTGAGAATGAACACAAAGAGCATAAGGTAGGAAAATGGTTCATCAAACTGTGGTCAAATTTACAAAATATAGGTTTGAAACTTTGACTCCCATACCTTCAAATTAATTACAGCAACCTTATTGGCTGGTGTTGATAGCTGATCACTGATGTAGGACATGGACCTTAACATTGGCTCCAATGAAACCCTTGAGAGCTGAAACTTAACCTCTGATTCAGTTGACGGAATTCTGCTATAATCTTGCAACTGCAGTGGTCATAAGAGATGTGTTTAAGAAAAAAAAAATACGGAGAGAACACTCTTGCTCAGTCAGTTGTAAGCTAAGCTTGACAGTGCAAACCCAAGCATTCCACTAGCACAATGTTACATTACAGAATTAAGTGCAGCAATAATCACATATGAAGAAATAGCCTAAATAAAATAAGAGGATTTATGAAGATTTCATGAAACTCAGGCATCCTGGCTATGATTATCAAATACAGCAAACTTGAGCTAATTTTATTTGATAATATAAAATGTCACAACTATTTTTTCATTTCTTACCTTCAGGTTAATGACAGCTACTCTATTTCCTGGTACTGAATTCTTATTTTCCATGACCCAAGTCATTGACTTTAGACACGGAAGTACCACCTGCAAAAAATCCCAGATCAATCCCATGAACTTGCACTCGGAACAAAACGAAATAGAAGAACAGAACCAAAACAAAGAATTCATTGGAAAGAATTATTTTCCATACCATGTTCTCAGGAGTACCATCATCCCGATGAAGAGATACAGGGGCCATCCGTGGCAAATTCAGGTCAGAAACATTTTGAGCAGGTGCACCGGCATCATTCAAATTAAAACGCCTCATTACTTCATCATGGCGTGGCCACAACGAAGGAGTCAAATCTGACGTCGATGTCGAGTTTTTTTTGTCATCATAGCCAGTCACACTAATCTGACCGCTAGGAGGGGCAACTTTAGCAACATTGTTTTTCACAACAGAAACCTTCTTCCCACCCTCTTTAAGAGCAGTCATTGCTGCAATAAAAGTTTCTGTAGTGGTTGCCCCATCCTCTGCATACTTTATGGCTTCTCGACATAGATTGTTGTACCGTAAAGTTAGAGACTCTTGGCCATATAACTCACCACTACGTTCATCTGGGTTAGTTCCATTCTTTGCATTTCTTGTCCATCGTTTCAAAATATAATGGGAAGGCAATGTAAGCACATTTGTTACAGTAAATACTGTCAAAACATGTCTACAAAGAATGCCTGAATACTCAAACATTTGACAACTACAATTAGCTCTCATCTCCGGATAGTTAAATGTAACGATGTATGCCTTGTTGTCATCTTCAAATTTCGCAACTCTGAATGTGCTAATAGCTCCATCACCTTCAATCCTATTTGCTGTGTACACAAAAGTCTCAACTAGCTCTTCTTGAAATTTTGCAAAAATTTTTCTTGTATAAAGATTGGCTGCCTGTTTCTCCATGGGTGATGGTGTTCTCAAAACTGGTGTCGTGCAAATTGTATCAAAGTCTGCTTCTATTTCCCTTTCAAACCAGTTCTCCAAAGCTCTTTCATATTGCCTAAAGAACATTGGTAATGTAGTCTGTTGATTCACATAGCCTTCAAAAAAGGAGCCATCATACCCTTGATTGGGAGATATAGCAGCAAAAAAGGAATCCCGGAAATACACAGGTACCCATTGAGCGCGAGCATTGTATAATGATTGAAGCCAATCATTTCTCCTGAGGTCATATTTATCAACGATAGAATCCCATGACAATTCAAACTCCTCGACAGTTTCGGTCAAATTGATACAATTATAAAGTTCCAACTGAAAATTGGGGTGTGCGTGGCACACATGTGCCAACCTATCCTGGCCTTCTCTTAAAACATGCCACTTGCTAATGCAGTGGCGGACTTCTGGAAACACCTGAGCAACTGCTGTCTGTATGGCTCTGTCCTGATCAGTCATAATCGAAACAGGAGGGCTATCATTCATTGCTGTAAGGAATGTCTTGAACAGCCAAATAAAAGACGCTTCGGACTCATCTAGAAGTAATGCACAACCAAACAAAACCGTTTGACCATGATGGTTCACTCCGGTAAATGGAGCAAATGGCACTCTATACTGATTTACTCTGTATGTGGTATCCAGTGTCACAAAATCACCAAAATGACAGTACGCAGTTCTTGACCTCACATCTGCCCAGAACACGTTTGCCATGCGATTATCTTCATCAAGCTGTATTGCATAAAAGAAACCAGGGTTCTCAGCCTGCATTTTCTTGAAATACTCCAGCAAATTCTGAGCATCCTTCCCTAGTGTCCTCCTTCGACTACTAGGCCTAAGAGCATGATTGATTGTTACAGCATTCTTGACTGGTCTATTTGATTCTGCAGATGAAGTATTCCTAACTACACGGTTTTTCTCTACAGTGGCACGGTTACCATGGTTTCCATCCATGGAAAGATACATAACACCACTGGGAACAATCCCTACTCCTTGATAGGTTTCAGCTGCATTCTTTGCAGCACCAGCAAAATGCCGACGAGGCCGAAGGTATTGCATTTTACCAGGACTTGCTAATGCATGACTATGCTCCTTCACAAATTTCGTCGAAACCCACTTATCTTGACGCTTTAACTCTATCCTAAGCATTGCACCACAACTATCAGCATGCCTTCTTTTCAAACCCTCTCTGCCACATACAAACTCCCGAGCAATGGTTGTCGCATCAGGTTTAGAACGACTAGATTGACCAACTTTAGAGCTAAAACCCAAACGCCTTGCATATTCATCATAGAAAGTCTTGGCAGCCTCTTCAGAAGTAAATTCCATACCCACATATGGCTCGGAAATCCCATCTTCACCATGAGCCTCGGAATTTTCGGCGTTATTCACTTCTCCACCTTCACTTCGTTCAGCATCACCATCATCCGCTATTCCATGATGCACCATTCCTTCGACATCAATCACTTCAACATCCATCCTAAACCCACTGTGTAATGCTAAAGAATACAATTCCTATCTTTCGAGCTAATAAATAGCAGTACACCATGTGTTTCATTAACACGGAAAATGTAGTTCAATCTGCACACAATCCCAAGCACACAAACTGGTTCATGGCCGAGCCTTAAAAAGATATGTGGGATACATTATATACATCTTACCTAGAATTACAACATGCAAACTTTGAATCGCTGAAAATGCCGAAATATCAATGCATAACGGAGAATTGTAAAATTGACCAGAATTAGAAATATCCACCATAATGGTGCCCAGAACCCGAAATTCAAATTAAAAAATGATGAAATAGAAGAAACCCCTAAAATTTTATCCATGAATGGCGTATTTGTAATCCTAATAAAGCAATTGAAACCCAAAATTACCAAAATTATGCCCTAATTTCACTCAACCAGAAAATTAACATCAACAAATGAACATATATCAAAACCAACGAGTCAGCACAGAAAGAAGAACATAAAAATTCAGAGTCGCCACTTACAATAGGTTCAGGCTTTCAGCGCCTTCGCAGCTCCAATTCAACCCCGCGAAGCAACACCACCGCTTTCAAATCCGCCTTGAATTTGCCGACAACAATTTCATATAAAATTGGACAATACCTTCAACTTCAGATTGACACCCCCAATCGAGCACGGCAGAGAAGAGCAAAGAAATTCTTCTTCCACCTCTGATTGGACCTTCCAATCCGCTGAGCTTTCTTGTTTCGGTCTCCTTCTCCAACTCTCCCCCTGCTCTAATTTCTGCTGTTTCTTTCTCCTTTGAGGTAGAATTTATTTTCTTTTAATTTTTGGTATTAATACATTTTGCAAATAAAAATAAAAGAGAAACACTTATGTGACGCAAACACAAAAACAGTTACACAAGTGGGCATAATTACTAGTTAGTCTCGAGTACGGTCGTACTATAGTTAGTGAATAACCTTATTTTTTCGTACGCTCCTTGAAACTCGAAAGGAGCTTGGACTCCAATTTCATGTCGATTTAACCACGAGCTAATAGTTCAATGGTAAATAACAGATTACAAGATTTTCTTAAAATTAAAAATTGAAGATTTTGGATTCGAAACATGCTGCTGTATGAAAGCCAGACTTGTAATCATAGGAGGCTGAAATGCCACTGTGAGTCTTTTCGACCTCCAAAAAAGATGAATAATCGTAACTTGCCACCAGTTGTCCAATTTTTTTTATAAAAATAATAAAAAAAACATTTCGCTTCGATTTTTGAAACTCAAATTTCACTACATTAGTCTTCAAATTCAATTTTTGATTCACTTTCTATTCTTCGTTAGGTTTGTCAATTAATTTTTTTAATTCTTACAGGACATGAGTGGGCCCACTAATCTGGTGATGTGTCTGCCACGTTATTGCCACTCTTGGGTGCCTCGTTGCAATTTTGCTACATGTCTCTTAAGCCATCATGTAAGCTCCAACTCCTAAACAAAATCCTATTATTTTCTTGTTGGACTAGAATTCTTTCTACTCATCTTTTCATTCTCTTCCATCCTCTTCTTTTACATTTTTTATTTTATTTTTTTCTTTCTATAAATAATTAATATAAAATGTTGACATAATTTAACCGTAATCATTCAAATAAGAGAGAATGACAGATAGAGAAAAAAAAAAGGGAGAAAATCTTATTCCTTTTTCGTTATCCATGGACACAACAACTTGGCCCACTGTTGTTGCATTTTGCAAAGTTTCCTCTGAATCATGGATTTGCCGAGAATTGGGACCAAAGGTTTGCCAGGAATCTCAAGGAATCGAAGAGAGCTGGTATGATTCCTAACACTTTGACTTCGAGCCTTGTCGATGGCCCGGTTGCTATAGCTGTTCTGGCAAATCCCTGCTTACGCTCTTATCCTCTGTGCACTGCCATCCTGGACTGAGGTGCCACTCACTAGTATATACACACATATTTATACGCCAAGGAGGAACTTTCCCCCTAAAACTCTCTGAGAATAAGAGAAATATTCCTCTTTTGTTCTTTACAACACGCACATAACTGCTTTACGTGCACCTTTAGGATACTGAATCATACCTCCTAGATACTGGAGAAGAAAGTGAGTGGTTAACATGCACATAACTACTTTTGTGTTGTGTTGAATACGGGCCTAAATTCGTCTTCAACCCCCGGAGCACCCTGTGATGGTTAATATGTTTTGTTGTTGGAATATAGGACTTTCTCTAATTCTCAAAGAAAAGAATTTGTGTTACTATTTAATAATAGGATTAAGTACCTAAAACTCCTCAACCTTTTAGTATCATTCCAGATTGGTCTCAACATTTTTAAACACTCCAAACAAGTACCCAACCTATTAAATGTCACATTCGTTAAGCTGCAATTAAAAATATGTTACATTAACTAGGGCTAACTTTGTCTCCAAAATCAATAGAAGGTCATAGGAAGCATAACTTCCACCAACTAAGAGTCACCACCGCTCCCATCAAACTATCAACTCCCAACTCAATGCAAAACCACCAACTGCACCCTATAACTCAAGCCACCACCATCAAAAAGAAGTTCATGGAGGTTGTTGAAATGGTAGGGACTGCTATGATGTAGCCACCACCATCTTCACTATCCATAAAGAAGAATTGGAAGCATTATAAGCTCCCTAAAACCTATCTAAATTCTTATCCCTGTTCTTTGTTAAGAGCTTGCCTGCTTGATGTAATTTCAATTTGGGTCCATTTGTTATTCAATTCAATACTCGTTTAATCAATTGGTTCCATGTTATATAATTTGTTTGAAATTTAGAATTTGAGGCAATTAATATTAGTGTTGACCATGATATTCTCAATTGGTGGGTATTGAATATAATCTATGTTTGAAAAATTAACTGGAACTTAGCGAATGTGACATTTTCAGTAAGTTAGGTACTTGTTTGGAATATTTTAAAAAATTAAGAATAATTTAAAATGACACTAAAATGTTAGAGAGTTTTAGATACTTAATCCTTAATAATATACGGTAACATGTTTATTAATCACACTGGAGTGAGAGGGGACATAACGACCATATTGTGTTTTGATCTCCTCAACCTCTTTTGATGGGGCATTATAATATAACACCAATTTGATGCTTATGTAAGAATATGCGTGCGCATGACAATTAACTCGATCCAAGGGTTAATAGTAGATAACTAATAAAATGTGAATAAAAATTTGAGCTTCTCTTTCTTTGGTGTGCATGACGATCAGTGTGAAGGATAATGTACGTATATAGGGGTGAGATCGCGGGACACAAAATAAACATTTTGATATTTATTTTATAAGATCTACTTTGTAATGTATTTTAATAATTTGAACTGTTTATGTTTTAGGTTTTGGCATATTTGTTGATTTGCGTCTAAACTTGTATAGAGTTGTCAATTTCCTTTTGAACTTTAATTTTAGCCATTTATCCGCTTGAACTTTTATAATTAACCAATTTCCCCTTGAACTTTAATTTTAGCCGGTTACCCTCTGAACTTTTATATATAGCCAATTTCCCCCATGACGCTAGACTTTTTTTTTTTTAAATTTTCATCACACTTTTTATTCATTTTGGTCACACAGTCAACACATGACAATCGTATGGGGCAAAAAGAATGGAAAATTGGATGGATGAAAATTTGATGAAAAATCTAACACTAGGGAGCAACTGACTTTTTATCAAATTTTAAAAGGTAATCGGCTAAAATTAAAGTTTAGGTGAAAATTAGATAATTATGAATGTTAGGGGGTAATCGGCTAAAGTTAAAGTTTAGGGGGAAATTGCACCTCAATACAAGTTCAGGGAGTAAACCAATAAATAACTCTTTAGGTTTTTCTTCAAAGATTATATCTACTAAAAATCACCTAAATTTTAAACCATATGATTGTTTGATTAAATGATAGTCGTTTTAGCTTTTCGTTACAACTGGATTTGTCTATACTATAAATGGTTTTGGATGTTTTATAATGATGAATTGAATGTCTAATTTTTTTTCCAAGAATAATATGTGGATGATGAATTGAAATGTAGACAGTCCGTGTCGTTTAAAAAAAAAGGTTACAAAGTAAGCACTAATGAACGGTAAAATGTGTGTTATAAATGCATCTGAATCATAACACCCCCCCCAACCAAAACCAAAAACCCCCCGTGCGGCTGCGTATATATTAGGGTAATGCTATTCACATACATATCTTAATTTTTAGCCATCAAATCGAATAAATTAAAGAAAATCAATAACAAAAAATTAACAAAAATGTATAAGAAGTAAAAAGATTTGAGAATATCACTAAACTTTATATTAGATAGGGACTTAAAGTGTTTCATGCGCTGAACCATGAGACATGAGTGTAGAAAACGCAATTTACCGTCTCTGAAAATCAAAGCTCGCAGCAATCACATGCTAAAATACAGGGGAAGTCCAAATTCCCGGTTCCTTAGTTTACGCCGTCATTCTCTGTTGTCTGTAGTATTAAATTAATACAACAAGTGAGTCACTGTCACCGAGTTAATCAAACACTAGACTCAGAAAACGGAGGAGGAGGAGCAGAGCGGATTGGTAGCTAGAGGGAGTAAAGCTTAAGAGGAAAAGCGAGTTGAAGAAAAAGCAACTCAGCAAATTGATTGGGAAGGATGATGGGGGAGTGGCAGCAGCAGCAAATGATCCACCAGAATTTGCAGAACCCAGAAGAAGATGATGGGATTGGAAATGGAAATGGAGGGTTGTTCGTGAAGGTGATGACGGACGAGCAAATGGAGCAGCTGAGGCAACAGATCGCCGTCTACACCACCATTTGTGACCAGCTTGTCGACTTGCACAAGCAACTCTCTGCCCAACAGGATCTTACTGGTCGGTCTGCCCCTCTCTCTCTCATCCAATCTCAATTGGGTTTGTTTTTTAATTGCTTTTTTTCCACTTGTGGTTGATTGGTTTTGATTCATGAGATTTGATCCAATTTTCCTTCTCCATATTGGGTTTTACACATATGAGTACGACGATTAGTACTTTTCTCTTCTTTTTCATTTTTTTCAAGTAAAATGAGGAGCTAATTTAGGACTTAGGAAGCTGTATCGAAACTCCATTACTTGTTTTTGTATCTAAGATTATGATTTTCTGTGGTAATGGTGGAAAGGAATGTACTTGTTCTCGATTTCTGGGTGTTTTATGTGCCCATGGCCGCGGTCCCGTGAAAACCTTGTAACATGATAGAGCCACTTGGTTTACTTGACGTACCAAAGACTTCCGTGTAGGCTTTTGTAATGAATTTATTCACTTGCAAGTACTTGATTCATGGCGTGGGAGCACGAACACCGGTTCCTCAAGTTGGAGAAGCTTACCTCAAGCTTGGTGGATATATCCTCGTCCAACTTTTTCAGGAGTTCAGGTGGAAGGACCTTGTCAAATTCAGCACCCGGCGTGGCCCAGCCTTAGCCTCCGAAATAAAAGGAGGATAAGCGAAAGCACAAAAATGTGGATTAGTAAAATAAAGTACCAGAAAAAGGTGGTTTTTAACTAGCTATGTACTGAATATTGGTACCTTTAGTATCATCAACAGAACTACAAGTAGCAACACTGCAGCTTGAAAGTGATCGGACTTTTGTTGCTGCACAAATTGCTTACCATCTGTATTTCTTCCGATCTTGAGTTTGCTGCCCAATAATCGGCGTTTCTGTTGTTTGATTATATTCACTTAATTACAACATAAAAGTGAAAGAGCAACAGAAACTATCTTGTTTAAAAATATTCAAACTTGTGTCAGTCTTGTCAAATGAATAATTTTTATTTGGTATGAGCTTCCATTCCCTACTATCCGTAGTCTCACTGGTTCGGGAATGAGTCTTTCTTTCCCTCTCTTTCTTAGTTTTTTTTCAAAGTACAGGAATGGGCTGGGGAACTCTTGTTACGATCCACATTCGTGGCATCTGGTGGCCTCAAGATAACTTCCCAAGAACAAAATTCAAGTTCACTTTGTTTGTTTACAAATTTGGTTGTTTCAATTTAGGATGATCATATTGTGGTTTGGTGAATTTTTAAATTTTCGAAGTTGTGTTTACTTGTGAAGGTTTTTTTGTGGAAGAAAGTATTTTATTTGGTGTGGCCTTCCATTTCCTATGATCATCATTCTTTCTATTTCAGGAATGAGACTGGGGAATTTTTATTGTGATCCATTCATGGCATCCGGTGGCCACAAGATAACTTCAAGGCAGCGCTGGACCCCGTCAGCCGTGCAACTTCAAATCCTTGAGCAAATTTTTGAGGAAGGTAACGGAACTCCATGCAAGCAGAAGATCAAAGAGCTGACCATGGAACTCACACAGCATGGCCAGATATCTGAAACAAATGTCTACAATTGGTTCCAGAACAGGAGAGCTCGTTCAAAAAGAAAGCAATCCATGACCACGCAAAACAATGCAGAATCAGAAGCCGAGCCAGAAGTTGAATCACCCAGGGATGAAAAGACAAAACCAGAAGACATCTTGTCCTTTGACAACTCTGCACTGAGGGCTGAAAATATGTACCTTCAAAGCCCCGAATTAGGTACTGAATTATTTTCTTGGATGCATTGTCTAATAGAGATGCGGAACTTAGAATGCACGAGCATGCTCTAACATGTTTGAGATGTGTTTTTGCAGGATTTGGAAATTTTGATTGGTAAATATCATATGGAAGTTCCACCAAGCTATATATAATCCTTATGACCCGGCTGAAGACCTTCTGTATTCAGATGATGCCGTCAATGTTTAACGCTCCTGCTATCGTGCTTGAATAGAATCGTATCAGATTGCGAGGTTAATGGACTGTATTTTATAGTAGAAAATATCTTTTTATTGAGGGAGCATATGAAACACATGGTACTTAGCAAACATCTACATGTAATGTATACATAAAAAAACAGTTTTATATTTTTCAGGATTTTCTAATATTATTGAAGGTGTAATATTTGTTGAAGACAGCATGTATTTATGGTTACAGTCTGATTATAGTGAAGATCTCCGTTTGTTCGTCGAAGGTAGAAAGTGGCGGGAATGATTTATAGTATTGGAATATGATCAAACCTGTTAATATTATTAAATAAATAAATAAAGTTGCTCTAGGCTTTCTATTGAGAAATAAACTCTTCATATTACTGAAATAATATTACATCCAGTATATATATACAAGTGTTGCAACCAATGAGAGTTGCTGAGAGATGCTGTATATCAAACAAAACAAAACTAACTAATATCTAACAGACTATCCAATATCTAAGTAGGATCTTTTATATCTACATTTACATTTGTACCCTCAATACTTTCTAGCATACTACTATTAAAGGATCCTCTTCAGATCCTTTTCACTAAATCATCCCCATCAAACAATTCGAACCCTTGAAATTTGATCCAGCAGCTAAAATTACTAATCTATCTTTCTGTTGGTGGATTGGGATTAGGGCCTGATCTTCAACCTGACCCATATATCAGCCCAATGCACATGCGGCCAGCTATGGGATACGAAATTGTTTTCTTTTGCAAATCCAAAAACGATGACCTTGGCCGGCACGAGATCCCGTTTCAACACTCGTTTTCATGGAAGTTCAAAGCTAATCGAAAGATGACAAGCGGTGTGCAAACTATTTGTGGAGAATTGATCAACAAGCAGCTTTTACATATGATGAAGTCAATGGAAATTGGGATATGGGCATGTGTGGCAGAAATGAAAGATTTTAATTAATTTCTATTTTTTAATTTTTTTTTTTTGTCAAATAATAAATTTGGTTACATTAGTCACCGACGGATTTTGAACTCACGCTGTCATGCATGGCTCAACACTTTTTCCCCATTGTGGTAAATAACCACTATTGTGCTAAAAAGCCACTTGCAATGAAAAATCGGTATGTAATTCCTAAATAATGAATAAATAAATAAATAAAAATTCCTTTTTTTTTTTTTTTTGGTCAAATGATAAATTTGTTAAATTAGAGAGCTAACGGGGTTCGAGCTCATCCTGTGGTGCAAGGGAAACACTCCCTCCACCATTGGGGTAGAGGGCTACTTGCATGAAAATTCCTTTTGTAGGCAAGCAATTCTATCCATCTCTATTTTTATTCTGACTAATTACACCAAAAATAGTAAGATTTTTTTTTTTTTTTTGGTAAAATAAGAATTTTTTTTTTTCCTTGTTAAACACCATCATCCATCTAAGTTCACCTCACCATTAAATTGGGACAGCCTAGCCCGACTCATTGTACATCTATATAAACATCAATTATGTAATAATACTCTTAATATAATTCAATTTATAATCAATCATTGTGTTTTTAAAATTCTTTTCCCAAATGTTGTTTCCCATGTAGTGGTAGTGCCTTGCGAAAAATGAGGTTTTGGGTTTGGGTTTTTGATTCATCTAAAAGTCTAAGACTTAGAGCAAAGTTGTCTCTCTTTAATAGGAAATTCAAATTCTTCAAAGAAATAAGTCATTCACAATCTTTTATGTAATTTATTATATTCGTTTGTGCTCATCTAAAACAAGGTGAGTCGACTCAGCTTGGCCCAACTCCTTTCGTTGTACATGAACTCATGCGTAATATCCCTTGAAGTAAAAAGAGCACTTATCATTCTGCTTCGTTCTCAGTGTTCTCTATCTCTTCTCCTCATTCTAATGTCGCTTCCTCCAAAAACTACTCTGTCCAAAAACTATGGAGAATTAGAGCTTTGCGAGGGGAACCCAGGAGGAATGGTTGGATGAAGTTACTTGTGATGATGATGTGGGTGGTCTTTGGAAGCAGATTGCTCAAATTGGTGCTTTGGTGGTGACCATGCTGCTTTATGCATGAAATCTTCTCTGCAATTGATAAGGGAGAACGTGGATATGATTGACTTGGACGATGAATACGTTGATGCATAGATACTTAATTCAACAGATGTCACAAATGAGAACTTCCATACTGCTATCGGAATAAGCAATTCATCTTATTTGTGTCATTTGAGGGAAAAAGATGCGTTCATTCCCGAAAGTCTAGCGTTCAAGGTCACTGGAACTCTCAGAGAATGTTGAGTGGTTTTCCCTGACATCTTTTGCAAGGGGAAACCCGTAGAAAGGGAGGATGAAGTTGCTTATGATGACGTAGATGGTGTTCAAGTAGATGCCTCAAATTCGTGAATTGGTCGAGCTACCCCTAAGTTATTCTAAGCTTTTTACATTAATCGGTGTGAAAGCTTTGAAAGGAATTATGCTTTATAGACTCCTGGGTTCAGAAAGGCACTAATAGTCAGAGATAGTCATGGGTATGCTGGTGGAACAAATGAACACTTCCAAAATGCTCTTGGAACAAACAATCTACCTGCTTTGTGTGAAACAGTGAGTGTTCTTTATATTTCTTTTTTGATTTCTTGTTATCATTGTGTGGTTTTTCTGTATAATCAAATCTCTTAGATAGTCTTCCTTTTATGTATGCATTGTAGAGAAAGTACATCAAGGCTTTGTAATCAAGCCTTAAATAATCGGGGAATTCAGCCGCATACCTTTTATGCTTTTCTCGATTCATCGTGACTTTTCTCTATATTTGTTTGTGTTTAATGTTTCGCTTATATTCATCCAGTGTTTGGAAAATGCCAAGATAGATTGACATGATTAATCACTTTATAAGAGAAATGGGTGATCTAGGTGGCATTAGTGCTAGTGGTAGTGGTGGTGAGGACGACGAAATTAGTATTGATGATGGCGGCGATGAACAAATTAGTGCTAGTGGCAATGGTGGTGAGGATGACGAAATTAGCTGTGATGGTGGCGGTCATTATAATTCCCAATAATGCATATTATTAATGGTTCAACCTCTCCAACTCAAACAGCCATTTTTGCCGATTACAGCAAAAATGAATGGTTGGGTTTCTGATTGCCATTCCCGGCGATAGAGTTCAACTACAAATTTCACTCATCATTCCCCTCACTTCTCACTGTTCTTTATCTATTCTCCTTCTCTTGCTATTTCCTCTAAATTCTTCTGTCTTCTCAGGATTCTGCCTTCTTACTTCTCAGTCTTCTCACTCACAGACATTATCTCTTCTTCTTCTTCTTCTTCTTTGGATTCTGCACCATCATCACTCACTGACTTTGACTGTTTCTTCGGCTGTCTCCTCCCCTCTCTCAGGGTAATGCTTATTTCTCTGTGTCTCTTGTCTCTTTTATATTACATTTTTCTCTGTGTGTGTGTGTGTGTTCTTAATTTGCTCTTTGATTAAGAAAGAAGAGATAGACGTTGATGTTGGCACTCTTTTATGAATGGGTGGGTGAGGAGAGGAGAGGAGAATGTTGGATTCGTTTTGCAGTGTTTGGGTTTTGTTTTGTGGGTTTCAGTTAGATCTAGGCTTTAATAAAATATAAATTATAATTATCTTTGTCCTTCTTTGATTCAACTTCCTATCAGAATATTCCTGATTTAAATTATGCGTATGTTTTTTAAAAGTTTATTCATTTGCCAACAATGAATTGGGTCTTGTTTTTAAAGAATTCGTGAATAAATTGCTCTTGAATTGGGATGTTTTTGTTCTCCGAAGAATATTGAATTTTTTTTTTTTTTGTGGTTTACGTTTGTTTTTTATTTGTTTTTGGTTTACGGTCAAATAGCCAAACAAAGTTGTTGAAGACATTATGATGGCTGCAAGGAGTCTAATGATATTCATTCTTTTGTCGTGACTTTCTTGGGCGGATTTGTTTTCGCAACTCTTTTAAGAAAAATTCACGTTGGCTTTGAGAACACAATACAACCAAATTAAAGGTTGTCATCCTGTCATCCAACTTCACTGCAAGTCCAAAATTCAAACACTTTCAAATCCTTTAAACTTGAAATTCAAAATTCTGAAATCAAACCTTGTGATCCACCACTGCAACCACCACCAAAGCCGACCGAGTCAAGCCCCGCACCACCAAATTGGTCTCCCGATCCCAAAAAGGCTGCCTCCAATTCCCTGTCAACCACATCCCCTGAATCCTCAAAACCAGTCGCTAAGCCTAGCGAGTCTGCGATGGCTCCCCCGTCTACCTCTCTGAAGTACCTAGCTTCTTTTTTCTTTCGTTTTTTCTTTATTTAATTTTTTTAATTATATAAAAATAAAATATATTTTTTGTATTTTAATATTTTAATCACTATATATTAGACTTGTAGGATCCAGTTATGTGACGTTAGCATATAACAGAAATTTTGACAAAATTATGACGAAAAGACCACATTGATTTGTGACATCCATTTTCAGGAACTGCATTGATCGATTTGCAATTTCAGGGACCATCTTTATAGGGTGGGTGGGCCAATTTTAGGAACTGTTTGTGATAAAAACTCAAATATGTATTTGATGGAACTTGACAGTTTTATATCCGTAGGTTATTATATACATATGAGCAAGGTCGTCTCTAAAATTTTAAGGGCCTTGTGTGAAATTTATAGAAAAAGTCATTTTTAAGATAGGTTTAAAAAAGTAGGATAATGTATTGACGCTTGAAAGCAATCACATTTTTTTTTTTTAAAAACAAACGATATTATCTATACTAATGGGGGTGGGAAGTAGGCTAAGGTTCACAATGAGATAGCAATAATGTGATTCAAATTCGTCTTTGGCGAGAATTTAACTAAGACCTCTCAATTACAAGTGAAGATGAATAGTACTAAACCGCAGTACTAGCGGCGAAATCAATCACTTAAATCAAAACAAAATTTAGCACTCACTGATTGCAAGTTTAAAAGTATTATTAATAATAAGTAAAAAAAGCAACAAACATAATGTTCACTAAATAATCAAAAACAGTTCAATCTTAAACAACCAAACAAGAAAAAAAATTTAAAAAACTCTAACTTTAAAGTTTAGGTTGAATATATAGTATTATTATATAATAAAATTGAGAAAAATACTTTTTTTTAAGGTGTTATTATTGGCACTCAAAATATCTCATTGTACTCCAAATTTTTATACTTTGAAAGAAAACAAATTACGCTTATAAGGAGTACACGATGAGATTTTAAAGTGATAACAACAACTATTTTTAAATATAGAACATTATTACATAACAAAAGTAATTTTTGAATATAGAACATTATTACATATAAATATTAGATGACAAAAATTTGGGGGCCCTTTCAAATTTGGGGCCTGTATCACTTAACCTTTCACTCCTTCTCAACGCCCCCTCTGCATATGAGATGAATAGTCCTTTATATGAGAACTGGGTGGTCTTGTTGGCATTAATGCTAGTGGCAGTGGTGGTGGGGACGACAAAATTAGCAGTGATGATGGTGGCGATGAACAAATTAGTGTTAGTAGCAATGGTGGTGGGGACAACAAAATTAGCAGTGATGATGGCAGGATGAACAAACTATTGATGAAGATGTACCGGAGTCGCCTACTGCTGCAAGGTTCGTCTGCAGTTATATCAAACTCTCAATGCTAGGTTCAAACACCTAATATATCTAACTTTTTGGATTTGTTTTGTTTAGATGGTTGTGGAGATCTGCATGAGGTAGAGCTGCTCGATGGACCATTGGTGCGTCAATCCTGCTAATAACGGGGAGCGCCACTATAGTGAGTACGAGGTCTAAAGGCATCACTTTTGATGTGTTCAATTTATTCACGAACAAACTATCATTTTTATTGATGTTGCTCGCTACAATCATTTTGAGGTTAGTGTTTCAGACAATTTCTTTTCTAAATTTAATGTGAATTAATTTGTTTATTTAACACAATGTTTTATTTCATCTGGCGCCCCACTCAATATGGAGCCTGAAGGTAGATCTAAGATCTCTTCCCCTTAAAAACATCTGTTATGAGATCGAAAGCAAGCTAGTTGATCAACCCTGTAGTTGTGGTGGGCTTGCATACTACTTACTCAACGCACCAAATGTTGATAACGCACCAAATGCCTCAGCAGGTCCAGCTCAAACCTCCAATTTGGCCCAGCAGTCTCCAAACTTTCATGCGCCGGTTCAGTTATCTAGCTTCCAGTCTTCTCAACTAAACCCATTACATGGGCTGTCCAAAAAAAAGCAATTGGGTTCTTATATTAAAAAAAATTTATGTACTTCACTTTATTGGAAGTTCTTCTCAGCATAAGTATTGTAAATTTATAGTATTGTATTCAACTACAAGAAGTCGAGGATATGTCTTCCATAGTATACAAGAATTTCCCCTAAAAACTAGATCCACGTAGCGGTGTATGGTAGAAATACACTAATAATTGAGCAGATTACGGGCTAGTTTGGAATTGCTGTGCTGTGAAAAAAAACATTGTTTTCAGAAGTAAGGGTAGAGCTGTTTCTGCTTTCTGCTATTTTGAACCCATGATTTTAACAAAAAGCTTTTTTTTTTTTCATTTGCCAAACACAATTTTAGCCCCAACTTTTTTATAAAACTGTTTTTAAAATACTTTCTGCAATGCAAAATCAGCCTTACAACGTGTTTATTATGCTTATTTGCCATCAGGGTGACACTCAAGCTGTTAAGAAGAATCAACCATCCTATTGACCCATTTAATTTTGTACCAACTTAAGTATAAAGTGGGGCTGTAAGTTTATGTTGGGAAGCTAAAAACGGCAAAAGTGGTCATTATACATTAACGATCTTTTCTCCTACTTATGGGTGTTGTGCTTCACGAACCAACCCAAAGTTTAATTTTAATTAATATTTATGCTAATTGAGGATAAAAAAACCATTTTTAAAGATATGCAATAATAAGATTGAGCTCGATAAAACTAGTAAACTTGAGATTACCTCGAGTTAAGCCCTAACTTGATTGAAATGAACACACATGAACACAAAATTATACCTTAATTCAAATGAGAAGGGGAAAGACATATTTGATCAGGTTGTATTCGAACCAAGTAAATTCTGATATATATTTAATGGTAAGCGCACAGAGGCAGTAATAGAACCAGTATAAATGTAATTTCTTATAATTTATTTCCACAAGCTTTGCCGATTGTTTTGAATTTATAAATCTATATATTAGTAATAACCTTATTATTATTTTGAGATTAGAGGGACGATTATACTTCTTGATTGTTCAGTAGTTAGGGAGACTCGGGTTCAATTGTTGAGTGAATGGAAGTGAGAAATGAGACTTTTGTGATCTGGATGAGGCATGCCGTGTGAAGAAAAGAAGCTGGAGATAAAGATGATGAAAATGGGGAGAGCAATTGATTGTGATGGTGGGAATGAAAGAGGCAGGATTTGTTATGGCTTAAGCTACACTATAAACTCTCATAAAACTCATCAATTTAAAAATTCCATCAAATTAATTATATTTTTTTAGCTGAACCTAGTAACGTGAGTTTATAACCAAGTAAGACATCAAATTAATTACATTTTAAATACACGTAGATTTTTATGAAGGCCAATTTCTTTTTGTGTTCCCTGTGGTGTCATATTTTTCAATTATCTCTGTTAGTAGTTCAAGTCCAAAGGTAAATTATGTCAGTTTCCCATTAAATAAACCCATGTGGATCTCATGTGAAGAGGCTAAATTTGTCTTTTTACAAACCAAATCAAGAAACAAAAATATTTCATTAGATATTAGGGTTCAACTAAAATTGGAATTGACTCGATGAAAAAGAGGCTTGAAATTTGAACGAATACGACGACATATGTTTTTGGTTTCTTGATTTAGTAGCAAAAACACAAATTTAGTCTCTCAATGCGAGACATACGTGAGTTTATTTAACATGGGACTAACGGAAGTTTAGATTTAATTTTAATTGCTAATGAGGTTCACCAAGAGGATTTAGTTAACAACTTTGTCACTACGAGATAAACATTAAAAATACTACGAGAGTGACATTATAAGTACCATAACACCATCAGAACCATTAAATTTTTTGACCATTTATAATTTCATTTTTAAAAACTCATTTAAAATCTCGACTAAACACGCTCCTTGATACTCCCTATAACCCCTAGATAGTATCTACCATTTCTCGAAAATTTTGAAAAAATAACAAAAATTTAGATCTCGCATAGAATTACAATCACATTTTTTAATTTTCTAATTCTATTTGAAGTCAAAATTCTGATTATTTTTTCAAATTTCCTATCTTTCTTTCTCTCACTCTGTTTCCAGTTCCCCCGATAATCAAAGCCCTCATCTTTCTCTCCTCTTGGCGGCGACTTCATCTCCGTTTGTCTCATTTCCGGCGAGTCTCTCTCCGCACTCCATCTCATCTTCTCCTTAATCAACTTAGTTGTCTTTCTCCGCGGCTCCGTCTGTCAAGGTACTTCTGAACAGTTTTGAGGAGTGTGCAGATTGACTGTAGGAATCTCTTTACTCCTCTTTTGTTTTCTGTCAGCGCTTGTTCCATCTATTTACTCCTCTTTTGTTAAATGAATCTCTATAAATAAAACTGGGAATTTATCAATTGGTTTGTATTAAGGTGAATCGAGTGATTTTTCGAAATTTAATGAGTTCAATTACATGGAATTATGCAGGGATTGGTGTTGGTGTGCCTGCTTTTAACTGCGTTCATCTTCTGCCTTGCTTGTTGCGTGCTTGCTGCAGGTATGATTTTATCTCTGAAATCTGAATGATATGAATTTGTTACAGAGTTATATGAATATGAGTTATAAAGTTACTTAACTTCAATTTGATTTGGTTTGTAACTAATATTTGGATTACAACCTTAATTTGCATCATTTGACTTATTATATGTGTATGAATTCCGAATAATGAATGATAGATGATGATTATGTATCTTATGCAGACTTCGCTGCTAAGCCTTCAACACGAAATATTAGTTAGATTAACTTAAATATCAATGTCAAGAAGCTTTCAAACTATTAGTTTATTGAGAACACACTGGCAAATTGAACCCTTGCATATATTTTTAGCTCCTTTCTGTAAGTTGTGAACTGTAACAAATTTTGTTCGCACGACAATTGCAATGTAATTTTTGCGGTCTTTCAATTTGGTGATGCTTTTTATTAATATTGTTGTTTCTACCAATTTATTTTTGGCTGAACTATGCCTGTTTATTGTGTTTTTCTAAGTTTCTGTTGCCTTCCCAACAACATTCACATTCCCAGTCCATTTCATTGTAGGAGCCAAAACACCACCTAAAACATGACTCTTGTGGTGACTCACTGTGTTACTGCAGTTCCAACATACCCAATCTATAAGCATCGACATAAACCTCCTCGGTCTTTCTCTCTGCGCATCTTATCAAAATCAAATCAAGTTTCAGATGTTAAAACTCCGCAGTCCACCTCTTATACTATCGAGCCAATAAGAGAGTGAGTTTCCAAATCATTTTATATACTTTTAATGTCCCATGGAACCCACCAGGTCAACTTGGATTTGTGCAGGTGTGAGTGCTTCAATATGTACAAGCAGCAGGTTCCTTATAGTCAGGCATGGGCTTGGCAGAAGAGCATAGTTGAGGAGAAAAAAGCTATGATAGAAAAGAATGATTATTGCCCAGACTCATTGTTCGTTCTTCAGCATCGTCCTGTGTATACCTTGGGAACTGCTAGTTCTGAACAGTTCCTTAATTTTGATATCAAGGACCCACCCTTCGATGTTTATCGAACTGAACGTGGCGGCGAGGTTACATATCATGGTCCGGGTCAGGTACTTCAGTGGCTGAATTTAACCTTTATGTTTCCGAAGATGTTGCCATTGTAATTTGAACTTGTTATCCCACGGTGCTAAAGTAGGAATCAAAATTTCGAACATGTGACTTAATTGCTTAAAGGGTCAGTATTCCTAACCTTGGATGCATGCTTTTTTCACTGTAGATAGTTATGTACCCTATTATGAATCTACGAAATCACAAGATGGATCTTCATTGGTACCTCAGGTCACTTGAGGAGGTGATCATCCGTGCTTTATCAAAGACATTCTGTATCAAGGCATCTCGGCTTGAGGGCCTCACTGGTGTTTGGCATGGTATGCTTCTTAAAACAAAGGCATGCTGTACGTCCTTCCTTTCGTATTATAGCTAATTATCATTGCCACTACCGAGTTTTTGCTCTCATAGCTTCCTTTACAAGTGGTGGTTCCTTGTTCCCTAATTTAGTCGTGTTTGAAAAAACATGAATATTGGTATTGAACCTGGCAGCTGGAATTTTCTTGTGATGTTTTTATTTGATTTTTTCTTCAGGAAACCAGAAACTGGCAGCCATTGGAATACGAGTCAGCCAGTGGATAGCATATCATGGCTTAGCAGTGAATGTGAACCCAGACTTGACCCATTTTCGTTGGATCGTACCTTGTGGGTTACAAGGCTATCAGGTTGGAAGCGTTAAAAGCTTGCTTGAGGAATTTCATACGTCTGCCGACTGTGGAGGAGCAGATCTACCTGATCCCGATGATTGTCAGCTACTTGATCTTACTTGTAGATCTTTGATCAATGAGTTTTCTGAAGTTTTTGAGGTTAGAATCAATTATGAAACCATGTCAAGGTTGGATTTACAAGCCGTCTGAATCTGAAGGTGAAACTAATTTAGTTGAGGCTACATTTCTAAATCCTTTGCCGATTTGAAATAGACATGGCTGTCGATGCTCTCTGAGTGTTTTAAAGAGTCTTGTGGTGACAGCAACCGAGCATTAGAGCAGGATTACGTAGTGCTACGTTTACATCCTTAGAAATCACAACCTTGCATACTCTCCTGAGTATTATATAGATAGCATTCAATTCCCGATGGAGGTTCTTAAGCGTACTTGGATTGAAATTGGTAGAGCTCTCAACTTGTAGTTGGTTATGCACGTTATAATATCTACATGAGAAGATTAAGGTTCCAATCCTTGCTTCCCCCTACCATGGAATTTGCTAAGTTCTTTGCAAGATCAACTTGTAATCTGCATATATCTGTGCATGATGATTCCTTTCTATTGATTAAAGGTTTATTTTTTGTTTTCCCCTAGAACTTGAATTTTATCTCACTTTCCCCTTGAAACTAAAATATCGCCACTTTGCACCCTATAACTCAATGTTCGCGTCACTTTGACGAGATTAGGTTGGGGTCTGAATCATGAAACAAACATGATTACATATCTTGTTAACCTGTAGCTTGCAAAGCTTTAGTAATTATTTTCATATCTCCTTTATTCTGTTAACGGCCGTACATGACTTCCTTATTGTTGTTAATGTTATGCAGTGCTGTGATTGACAACTTTAATTTGTGCAAATACTTGTTTTCACATCTTAATCCACTTGGTTTTATGCACTTATATATATTTCTGTGGGCTGTTTTGATATGAAAGCTGAAAGGGCTTTGTGGTATCAGTTGATCTACCAATTGATTCATTTTGAAAAGAAAATCTATTTTGATTTAAGATGAAAGCTCTATTCATAATCCCTCATGGTGGTCGATCTGTAAAAACCAAAAAAAAGAAGCTTGTGATATGCCCCCGAGATTGGGTAACCATCCCTCCGCCTGAACTTCTCTGTTACAAAAAAACTACAAAAAAAAAAAAAAAAAAAAAAAAATTGTATAGAGCCTTGATAAGTATATGACATATCCCCAGTTTTCCATTCAATTTTCCATAGCTGTTTTCATGTCTGTCTATCCTATTACTTTTAATTTTATGTGATAATAGTTTCTATGTCAAGGATTTGTTAGCTTGCACGTTAGTTATCGAACTTATTGTGTGTGTGTGTGTGTATCAAACTTATTGTGCGCGCGCGCTTGCCTTCAACTATATATAATGAAGCATATGCTTTCCTGTTGGAAATGATTACCCAGATTGCATGTATTTAATGAGAGTTTTTGTATACAACTATAGGCTAAAGTATGTGAATGGACTCATCTATTTAGATTTTATTGGATTGCATCTTTACTTGTTTATCTAAATCTTTTTCTGTTCCAATGTTTCTTTCCTTACAATATTTCATATCAATCAAAACGACATTTGGATAATAGTGTTGAATTAGTAATATACCGAGTTATTTGAGCAGGGTTAGAGTGGATGTCATGCGTTTTTTTATTTTATGGCTGGTTAAGTACGGAATGGGATGTATAATTAGTCACTCGGGATCAAGTAGTATAAGTATGGAATGGGACACACATGATTTGATACCTGATTGCTAAGATGCCATGACTTAATCTAGTTTTGTCAGTTTACTGTGGTAAGGTTATGTCCCGAGTTGTTGAAGCTCGTCCCTCCATTATTTATGCAGATTTACAAATTGAACAATCAAAAGGGTAAATGAGATGAGATTGGACAAGATATGTGGCTAGAATTTATATTTATTTATTTTGGCATTGTAAAGAATTCTTGATTCTTTTTTATAAGAGGAATATACTTTTTAACCCTGTATTTTGCTTATTTTCGTTTTCATTTTATTTTGGGTAAGCTAGGAAGACTAAATTTTTAAAATAAACGATGTGGTGCTTGATTATTGGATTATTGCAATTGTCTAGTGAAATTATGCATTGGAGATCCCTCTTGCTGCCAAGCCAACGCCAAGCCCCAAAGAAAAAAAATATGTCCCTCAACAAGGTTCTAAAAGATGTTAAGCATTAATCGGGCACTGGGGCATAGTGCCTAAATCACATTGGAACTTCTTCGTCCAACGCTTAGGCAGCACCTAGACCCTTTTTAGAACAATGTCCCTCGATAATGTCTTCCCTGTCCTTCATTGTATCAAATGACTTGTTGGTCGACTAATGTACTTAATATCACACGACCTGACTTAGTATATTCGGTACACATACTAAGTCGCTTCATGGACAAGCCACAAACATCACACTTTAAAGTAGCTCATCGGGTGTTGCACTATATTAAAACACAACTGGGCAAGGTTTGTTTTTCTCTGCAAAGAGCTCAATCCATTTGAATGCTTTATGTTATGCTGATTGGGATTGACTCCATGGCACTGGACGCTGAGTTACTAGGTATTGCTTATTCCTCGAGAAATCATTTGTTAATTTTTGTGTGATGCAGATTGGGTTCAATGCCGTGATTCTCGACGCTCAGTTACTTGGTATTGCGTATTCCTTCGGAAATCATTGGTCTCTTAGAAAACCAAGAAACAAGTTACCATATCATGTTCAAGCGCAGATGCGGATATCACTCCATGACATCCACATGTGAAATTATTTGGTTGAAATCCATCTTCAATGACTTGGGCATTCTACATTTATTCCCTGTCAAGTTATATTGGGACAGCCAGTCTGCACTTCACATTTGCTTTGAATCCCATCTTTCACAAATGAACTAAGCATAAAGAAATTGGTTTTTTTACCCAAAAAAGTTCAAAGCGGGATGATCAAAACGGCCCACATATCAACATCCCAACAACCAACAAACATGTTCACAAAGCCACTTGGACTTTCACAGTTCACAATTTTATTTGTCAAGTTGGGAAACATCAACATACAGTCCAACTTGAGGAGCGGTATTGAGAAATAGGGATGATACGTGATCGATTCTCTGACCAATTACATGTATGTTTGCTTCCTTGATTGTAGGAATAAGTGCCGACTTCTAGGATCTAGATTGATCTTTGTATTACACCTAAATTCTTGTACCAGCTCATTGTATAATGAAATCACACGACATTCAACTTCATAGTTACCAAGTGTTTGGTGTGATGCATGCTTAACATATCTCAGCAAACACTTGGCAAGTAACATCGACATCACTCAACATGGGCTTTCGCCAGCACTCAGCATGTTTCTTTAGCAGATGTCGACAACTTAGCAAACAAGAAGCCCACCAAGTGATTGACGAAATGCATTACTAAAAAAACTGACTTCCATAAAAAATAAAAAATAAAAATAAAAAAACCTAAAACTTTTTCACTGAGACCTCCAAAATTCAAATCTTGAATTTGCTATCGGCTCTACCCTAGCCTGGCCATATACAGTTAATCATTCACAAAATGAAACTGTCTTTGAATCACTCTGGAATTTTAAATCGGTTATGCCCTTGATCAATAATTGTTAAGCAAATTACTCCTCGATGTTCATATTCATATAAAATGTCTGAGATAATAAATTATAGCAAAGAAAATAAGGGAATATAATTGTTAATTAGACTATATCGATCAAAACTCTAAACTTTACAACTGGCTTTGTCTGATGGAATTTTGACTTATATAGGCTACGGTCGTCGAATAATCGATTTAATTACCTCAAAGCATGGAGGCAAGCTTCCTTGAATTCATGCCATCTGTACTGTGATCCACCATGGTTTTTGGTCTTGCAAAAGAGAACTGCCGATGTGATTTTAAAGTGGAACTTTCTCTGTCAATTTATGGTTTAATTAACGTAAATTTATGCGCTAATATTATAAAATATGTGTTAAAAACATAAGGTGGCAGATAATTATTTTAGCAATTTTTTTGCAAAAATTAGTAGTTTTTATTTATTGGGTCAAACCAAAAATGTTTAGTTTATTGATGCTAAGCGCATGCACATGTTACGTAGGTGCATATGTACTTCGAATGAAATGAAACCACGTGTCTACAGTAGCATGCAGTGCATCATGTTTGACATTCGATAAATAAATTAAGTAGTTTGATTAAATTATAAAACAATAAACTATTAGAGTTGACAGTCGATGCCGTTTTACTCTGTTTACCATTCTCTTAAGCCTACATTTTTTTCATTAAATACTTTAGATTTAATTGAGGTGTGACAAAAATACAGCTAGCAAAACCTTATCTGTAAAGCAGAGAATGACGTGTGAAGAAAGCGATTATGTGAGTCTATAATATATCACAGGGTCGTTTTTGAAAATTTAAGAGCATGTGCAAAATTTATAAAATGATTCCTTTTTTAAGATAGTTTTTAAAGAAAAACAGGACAATGTATCGATGTTAGAAAATGATCACTTAAACTAATAAACTTTAGCACTCACTGATTACAAGTTTATAAATGTTATTAATAATAAGTAAAAATATCTATAAGCATAACCTTCACTAAATAATCAAAAGAAGTTCATTATTAAACAACCAAACAAGAAAAATATTGTCTTCAAGGTGTTACTATCGACACTCAAAATATCTCATTATACTTCAAATTTTTATATTTAGAAAGGAAAAAAATTACATTATAAAAAAAATTACGTTTATAAGAAGTGCAAAATGAGATTTTAAAGTGCTAATAAAAATAATTTTTTAAATATAGAGCATTACATAATATTAAATGGCAAAAAATTTAGGGATCCCTTCAAATTTGGGACCTTATACGACTACACTTTTCACTCTCCCCCAACGCCCCTATGATATATCATATAATATGTAAAAATTTCTTTAGACTGAATGACTGAAGAATTTGGCTTTTGCGGAGTTTCCACGTGACAGCCCGTTCCGAAGATTTTAAAAACGTACGCGTGAAAAGACGATTTTGCCCCTAGTGTGATTTCTTTACATTGTGTGGTTATTTTTGGTTGGTTGTGGCTGATGGTGGACCACACATTCCCCCCCCCCCCCCACACACACACACACTTCCCCTTTCCCTGTCCCGTGCCATTTCCCTTCCCATTTCCCATCCAAACATACGGACACACCCCAAAACCCATCAAATCTTCACAGATCGAAGAAACAAAGTACATATCCATGCTCGTGAGGTTTGTAGAAGTCCAACCATACCCATTTCAGGTAAGGATACCTTCGTTTTCACGTCGAACTCGAGATACCCGATTTTTGGCATTGTTCATGCACACGTAATTTCTTATGTTTTTGGGAATTTCAAGCTTGTAGGAAGCTTGGTGAGGTCCCTAAGAGGCTCGGGGTGGTTCGTTTGAAGGTTTTGGACATCGGGATCACGAGTTTCGAGGTTGGCCGGAGTTGGGGGTATTTTTCAGGCGAGATTTCGTGGATTTTAGCACTTAAAAGTGGTATGATTTTGTTCCTCTCGTTGTAAGCTTCAATTTGGTACCAATTTTGTGAAATTTGGTTGAAAAATG